TATGTATTATGTATTACCAGTTAAATAGTAAAATAAATACATATAATGATAAATTAACTGTGGATTATTTCATTTACGTTGCGTTACGTGGCTTCCGTGTGGGTAGCTCGCTGTTTATTCCAAAATTAACAAAGTAGCTCAACACATTGAAGAGGTTGGCGACCACTGCTTTAGACCAACGTTAGGCGCCGCCTTTCTCTTTGCATTAACTAGAGTGAAGTTTTCGTCTCTCAATTTCAGCTCATAACGTGGCATTCTAAAACGCCACTCAATTTCGCCTACCCTCAAATTCTCAAAGAATACCTGTTAGCCACTTCATATGCTTCTATTCAAAGGAACCTGCCTCAGGACGCTATAAAACTAGCCACATTGCTACCCGTGACGACCCAAAAAGTTGGACTCGAAACGGAAGTCAAAATAAATGATTACACGATCGGTTTATCTCAAGATATCCTTTGGAACGCGTCCACTGTGCTTCTGTCACCCCAACAGCGCATCGTGCCGTATAGAAGTGACATCTGGATGAAGCTATGGGAACAACTGGCGAAATTATCTAAGGGGTCTCAGCGATTTAAGCCTAGCCAGGTTGTAGACAAGCTTATGGTTTCTCTGGATTGTTACCAAGTGAGTTGATGACATGTTTGATAAGTATTGTCTATTGTAAGTTTGTTCGATTCTTTCCTTAGTTGAAATGAAGTAAGCCATCACTGGTTCTGTTTTCAGTAACAATAACGGAGTTATTACATTTCAAATATGATGTAGGATAAGACAGATATCGATGAGTGGAATTTGGAAACTCTTCATCATTTTCCTCAACCGATCTTTCGTTTTCTTTTGGCGCCCCAAGTTGGGCGCCAAAAGTTATTACATCGGTCCGTAATAATCTATTCGATGGGAATTTTGCTTACATTTCAGCCAGAAGCTTTATCAAGATGCTCCACCCCTCTATCGCCAAGCGGAGGAGCTTCTTCAACCTTCACAGATTTCTTGAGCGGTCAAACGTGTGCCAAAAGTCAAGCCGACTCCCTTCCTTTCCTGGAAATCGACAGTTGCACCGCTAGCAGACAGGAGCATATAATTTCTGTGGCAAGTTGTGGTGTTGGAAGTTATTATAAATCACTTGTTTCTACTTCAACGTATTTTTCAGAATTTGCGAGAGATCAGCATGCACCTCTTGAAACAGAGCTCCAACAGCCCAATGAACAAATTTCCAGAACTGAATCAATCTCCCATGCATGTACATGCAGTGGCAACTCGATATGTCACAGCCCAGTTGGATCAGTCCCGGAAACTGTGCCAGATTCTTTGTAAAGCCGCCGCTTACGACTCAGAAGAAGATTTCGACAAGGGATTCATATACATGTAAGACATAATTCAAAGTATATATTTTGTTTTAAGTTGTCCCCATACATGTTTGTATGGAGACAATGAATTGAAAATTTCCTCGTCAAAATGTGACCGACACGATTTTATTTCAGAAATAAACTAGATAAAGAGAGACGATACGTCATGTTCAAACTCTTAGAAAAGTACTACCTGGCAGTACAATCCATTGCGTTTCCTTTGCCACAAGGTTTTACGTCATTTTTTACCTTTCTGGGGTATAAAACTATGGATTTCGAAATGTTTCTCCAATACGTCAATAGGAACGTGTTTGAGCTACAGGTTGATGTCATGAAAATTATAATGGCTGGTGAGTAATTGACAAGAGAGATTTAAATCACCAGCGGCGGCTCGTCAGAGGAGGCAAGGGAGGCTTAGCCTCCCCATAAAATTTAAGGCTATTCATCGCAATAAATTGAAAGATATTGACAAATAATTGTGATTATTTTTTTCTAAAAATGCTTGGGTTTCATTACTTTACCATTCATTTTTAATATAAATGCATAATATGCCCGAAAAAACACTATCACTCGCTACGTAGTACGTACCACACTGTATCCTACATCAACAAACCTCAAACGCACCGCCCATGAACGAATAACGAATAAACCATCAATCCGAAATAATAAATGCCATACGTTGCAAGGGAGCCAAGCCTTCGACCGTTTTAAAAAACACAAGCTTCGCGAGGCCGATCCAACCAACGACATACGTCCCGATTTGTACTTTTAGTTGCAGAAATTATAGCGTTAGAGGAGGCTAGCCTCCAGTTGGTCTCCTTTAGTGTACGGCTGCGTTTGTTTTTTATTTAATTATTCGGACGGGATGCCGTGACGGACCGGGACTGAAAAATATTATTAGAAGAGAAAAGTATTATTATTTATTGACTGAGAAAAGTTCATTTATATTAAATAACTCAAAGACAACCCTTTTCTTTGTTTGTGTTTTTTTAAATGGTCAGTTTTATACGTATAATTTTCGGCAATACACAATTTTCATTTGCATTTATGCAAATATTACTTATTTTGCTTTAAGTAGATGACTTCAGCCTCCAATGCACGAGCCGTCACAGCACATCACAAGCAAGATGTATTCTACACATCCAGCTTTGATTTATATTAAATAAATGCTCACAAATATATCGAAATGTTTGGTTGGAATCTTATTTTTTCCGTTTATTGTACATGAAAGAAATAGTTTTCCCAAAAGACAGGCAGTTCTCAATATCCTTAGAAGCACAGCCTGTTTCTCTATTTATTTTGTTGAGTCTAAATATTTTTTCATGGAATCTTGGAGTGTTTCTATCTATTAAATCAAATTCAATAATGGAAATGAAGAATTATCTTACAAGTTTCCCATTCTGAAAGAACAGTTTCGGTGATATGAAAACATTCCAGTCAGAGCAGCTGATCGTACCTGTTTTATTTTCACAAAGCTCTGAAAGAAAGTTCAATTGAACAATGTTCATTATGTCAAGTGTTTAGCTTTTACCAAAAGATATTACGTTATTTTTCATTCGGAAAAATATAAAGTTAGTTGAAGATGGTATTTCCCTGTCAACACTTTATTATGTAGACGTACAAAATTTAAAGTTATCTTTGACATAAAGTCCCACGTTGGGCGCCATAAAAATAATATCCTAGAAAAACTTTGATCAGTTCTCCACAGCGCCAGATTTAATTTTTTCAGAAAGTGAAAACAGTAAAGCCGATGTTAGGAAAAAGCTCAAGTTGCTCTCCGCTTTGCCTAGGTCAAGAGCAAAACGTCTTCTGAATCAATGGAACCACCCTGTGAGTGTCATGGCGAGAGCAAGGGAACACGCCCAAAATATTTTGTCCGGGATTACAGCTCCACCTTCAGGAAAAACCTATGGGATTCAAAAATCTAGAGGAGTCAGAGGTGAGGATTTACCGTAATTTTAAACAACCCCCAAAAAAAGTGAAAAACAGTCAATGTCGGTTAATCTTGGGTACAATAACGAATATGCATAAACCACATGTAAAAGTCAACAATAAATATTCAATTGATTGTCCTATGTTCTTTGCAGGGATAGCAGCATACCCTTCAAGTGATAATCTATCACCTTTGGATACATTTTTAGACCTTTTGACAGCTAAAGCTAGTTTAACAGATATCGATTTCGGATTGTTGATAGAAGCCACCGAAGCATCAACTGAAGATTTTTTGTGAAATAATTCTGAGCGATTTCACATTTATGATCATTCTGACGGCAGTCTTACGCCATAAGGAAAAATATCATGATTCAGGTTGCAGTATGGCAACTTAGATTTTTAATTAAAAATGAGTTTGTACTGATGTTTTATTTGTTCATAATCTGTAACTCGTATCACCATTTAAAATTTATAAAGTGGCTGAGTAAGTTTACATCAACTGATTTTGACTTGATAATGCATTTCAGATTTTGATTTTTGTCTATATTGACAAAACAGCACCAAAACATAAAACGAGCTCTTTGAGATAGATGAATAAGATAGATGTTCATAATTTTTTTCCATAACCCCTAAAACGAAAACCTGTACCGCTTTTCTCAATTTCGATAAAAAGGAATACTCTCTCTTTGTTTCTACTCCTATAATAATTTACCTTCGGTCTGGATTAGCGATTCCTGTATACTACTAATGATATACAGTCCTAAATAAATAATAATTGTCCTAATTATTTTCGCACAATAAAAATACCCCCCCTTTATATGGGATCGTTCAGCCGAAGGGTAGCGCGAGAGTTGCTGCCAGCGGATCAGAAAAACTTTGAAATCACTTCTCGAAACAGTGACTTGAAATATCTCAATGTTTCAATTCACTCAAAACTTCAAGAAATTTCACCCTTTACCTCAATTCAACTGAACCGCGAATATTTATCAGTACTGGAAACACCTAGCACCTCAGTCCCTTCAAGAGCTTCCCCAGCAACCTCCCCAAAAGGGCCAACCGCCCCGGTCAAGAGCCCCCAAACGACTCTGGGATCCGCGCACAACTGACTTAATTCTTTTCCAAAACTTTCCACCGTACCTATGTTAGACGATGTAGTTCAAATTATCTCAGAAAAATTCAATCAGAATGAGTCTGAAATTATTTCCAAACCTGGAACTCTTTACGTCCTCAAGAATTACCTACAGATTCCCGCTATTTCTAATGTAGCGAGCCTGCTACTGATATATGTATGTCACTGCAAGGGTTATTTTGATATTTTCTCTGTCTCGACTATCTCAGACGGATCATTAATTTTATCATGTCGGCGAGCAAGAAGGCGGAAGCATTCGCGGATAACTTCGAAAGGCAGTGCAGAGAGAACGACGTCCCGTTCACGGACGAGGTAGACGAAATAGAGAGACAGGTGGAAAGAACGGTACGAAGGATAAGACAACGAACGGACAACGCGCAACCCCCACCCCGACATCTCCCGAGGAAGTGGACCACATAACAAACCGGGCACTGAAAGTACTACCGCGCAAGGGTATAGCAGCCATAACCAACATCATAAATGCTATACTCAGATTGCAACACTTCCCGTACCCGTTCAAGGAGGCAACGGTTATCCACATACCGAAGCCCAAGAAGAACCACCTGTTCCCAGATAATCACAGGCCAATTAGCTCACTGCCTTCCATAAGCAAAGTGGCGGAGCGTGTCATCTTGAAGAGATGAACAATTCGGTTTTAGATCAGAACACTCGACAGAGCTACAAGTCCTGAGGGTAGTTGACTTCGCGACCGAAGGCTTCAACCTCGGCAAAGGATACAACACCGGATCTATCTTCTTAGACGTCTCCAAGGCGTTCGACAGAGTTTGGCATGACGGACTACTGGCCGAAATGTAAACTTTAATAAACATTTCAAATTTTGTCCCAAGGTAGACATTTTAATACTTGACATTTAAAGAAAAATTATTAAAATCGATTTACAACTTCAAATTTTAGGGGGGTGTTTCCATTAAAAATGGGTCAGACTGTAGAAACGAAACAAAAGATTGTCATATGGGAATCCCCAAAAATGCGTTTCGTTTTCATACATAGATAATGTGTGTGTTGCCATATGTGTAAAAAAATGAGTAACTACTGCTGACGTAATCACCATCTGGACCCCCCGCCCATAGGCAAAGCAAAGACCCCCGGCCCCCTATAGTGCTTATGCAATACTTTAAAGGCCCCTTTGCAATATTAGAGGCTGAATTTTGCCACGCATGCTTCTCTTCACTTATACTATCATAAAAAACATCGAGGTTATGCATCAGGGGAACGAGAAAAAAAATTACAATATTTTCAATTTCGACAAATTTTGTGGGGAACTGTGTAAATTTATATTTCGAGTAATTATTTTTTCTTCAGTAATTAGTTGCATATGATATCACAAATAAATAGTACTGCATACACCAGAACGGCACTAGTACAAGGTTTGTTCAAGTGTCAAACGATTTGTCACTCAGGAAGTGGGACGTTTCGAGGAGAGGTGAAGAACTTTTCGAAAATCTTTCGTAATAGTGGTTTTTATTTCAAAATTAACTTCTTCGTTTTTAAAATCTTATCTCAACAACAGTCTTCTCAAAACATTTTTAAAACAAGTTCTAGTCCTTAAAACTATATAAATTTAAAAATAGGGTCGATACGGCTATTAAAAATCTATAAAGAACAAATTCAAGATATCCCATAAAATAATGAACAAAATATTAAAACATATTTCATGAGTTGACTAAAACATTGGACAAAATATCAAAACATATTCCGAGTATGAAACAATTAAAAACAAGACTGACAAATAAATATAAAACCTTAAAAAAAGAAAAGTTCACTCCTGTAGAAAATTACAGAAGCAATACTAAAATTCCATCACATTTTTCAAAATTGAATTAAAATGTATGACCTAGTCTTATTTCAGTGCATAATGCACGTCGTCTACGCTTACGTTCAAGATTATCCTTTGGTGAATGTCGCTACACTTTTGGTCAGTCAAAATAAGTCTGCAAGCGCTCAACCTATACACCGCCGACATAGCGACAGTGATTGATACCCGTCTAAAACCTTCAATGGCGGCACACGTCTCGAACATTCTGAACACGTCGGCAAAGGTAGTTTCCTCCACGCCAGTTCGTCCCACCTTGAAACGAAAGAAAATTACAGATTTTCATTGAAAAAGCTAGGCCATATTTTTATAGCAGTTTTGAGTTGAATCATGTACACCCTGTAGGTTTCAAGGTTATTTAAAAAGGTCGAAAATGTAATTCTAAATCATCATAAATAATAAAGAACATGATAATCTCAAGAGTAGCTGTGTTTAGTTCTTAATTCGGAATCAGTAAGGTAGAATTTGATTTGATGAAGAAAGGTATTAAAAGCTCAATCTGACGCTGCTTTTGTCCATATGCAAATGCAAATTGGCAAAACCTTTGACATTTTCAGAAGATAGATAGATAGATAGATAATATATTTGTCTCTTACAACATGAGATATGTCAAAAAAAAAATGAAAAACAAACAACAAGTACAAACACATTAACAATAGTCAATTTCACATAAAAGTTAAATCATATTGGATGGATACACATTGAAAACAGTACATATAATGCATACTACATAGATGAAAATGAATCAGCCACACTTTTGAATAAAATCGTCTAAAGTATAAAATGCTCCTTGGATTAAGAACTTTTTCAGTGTATGTTTAAAAGTTTTTATTTTTGTTTCCGATTTCATGCTTTCAGGCAATAAGTTGAATAAATATGCCCCTGCATACAGAGGTGATTTTTTGTGATGTGTTCTGAGTATGGGATGTAAGTGAAAGTAATTTTTCTTTCTCGTATCGTATCTGTGGTACTCACTGTTTTTGTTTAGTTTTCCTTCATTTAAAAAGGTATACGTCAGTAATTTATACAAATAAATAGATGTGAATGTTAAAATATTGTTATTTGTGAAGGTGTTCCTACACGATTCTCTGTAGTCTAAATTATATATCATTCTATTGAACTTTTTTTGTATTCCAAAGACTGGATGTTTCTGTGGACCTTCCCCATACTATGACGTTGCAGCTGATGGTGCTATATACCAGTGCATAATATAAATTAATCAAGTAAGGTCTATGAAAATTTGACTTGAGTGTAACGAAAGCATAATATAGTTTATTTAGTTTTTTGCAAATAGAATCTGTTTGGTTGTTAAATGAGAAGTTGTAGTCTAGTTCCATACCTAATTACGTGCTGACTCTGATGTGTTTATTTCAATATCATCAATATTTATTGTAAGATTGTGTGTTCGCCTGAGGGGACTTATAAACTCTATGAACACCATTTTGTCTGTATTGTTAATTAGATGATTCACCTCACACCAGTGCGCAAATTCCTCTGTAACCAATTTAATTTTCTTTTGGAATTCAGTAGCGGTGTCAGCCACAACAATAACTGTGGTATCATCCGCATAGATAAAGGTTTGTCCATGCTTAATGTGAGTGGGTAAATCATTCACATAAAGCAAAAATAGCAAGGGGCCTAAGACACCACCTAGGGGAGTGCCAATTGTAATGTCAAAGTTATCAGAGAACTCGTCCTGAATCTGCACCTTAAGCGTCCTCCCAGATATATATGATAGGATCCACTGCTGAACTGGGCCACGTATACCTATTGCCTCTAATTTGGTTGGTAAATACTCGTGCTTTATGGTGTCGAATGCATGTGACAGGTCAAAGAAAAGTCCTCCTACAACTTTGTTTTCATTGATATTATCATATATATATTGTGTCAAATCAACAGATGCTGTCTCCACTGAGTGGTTAGGTCGAAATCCATGCTGAGATGAATTAATAATATTATATTTGTTTATATAGTTGATTATTTGGTTGTACACTGCTGTTTCCATTATTTTGGAAAAACAGCTGAGGAGGCAAATCATTCTATAATTTTCAACACACTGTGTATCCCCTTTTTTGAATATTCATTTGAATATTCATTCATTTTGAATGAATGTTCCACTCATTACAGAGTTGTTTACTATTAACATTAAAGTGCTAGATATAATATCAACTGATTCTTTCAGAATTGTGGCAGGAATTTAATCAATGCCAGCAGAAAATTTTTTCTTCAAGTTAAGAATTATATGCTTAACGTCATGTTAGTAACGAGAGCGAAAAATATTTAGTTTGGACTCATCGCTTCAACTTTGGTACACATATCGCAAGGGAGATCAAGGGAATCTATTTTCTCTTTTAGCAAAGTGAACTCCAAATACATCTGCTATATCTTTATTTTCAATGACGATTTTGTGATTGTAATTTAAGGTGATTTTCTGTTTTTGTTTTACACGGTTGGTTTGTTGGTTCATTTGAAAATGGAATTTTTCCTGAATTGGTTTGATGGTTTCATTCAGTATATCAGGAAACCTCCCCTCAAGGAAAGCGGAGTTACTATATGAGTCAAATGCTCAGAAATCACATTGGCAACCTTTTTAATAACATGACCAGGAATTTCACCAATACCGGACGATTTTTTCTTACAAACTTAATCAAACTGTTCATTGTCAAGCGTCCCCACATCATGACACCCCTCATATTCTTAAGGAATGAAGACTCACCTCAGCAACAATGGACTGCATAATCACCTGCTCCAGTCTCGAACAAGATTTAATAGCCCTGATTTTGGGTTGAGTAATCATCGCGTTCAGAGCCTGATTCACATGATCCATGCTAACCATCTGGGCCTTGCCTTCCCTTTCTGCGATTTCCGCAGCCCTGCGGCAAATGTCTAATGCCCTTCGTGCATCGCCAGACACAGAAGCAACTTTCCTGGAAAATATCACGATGAGAATAAAATATTTGAAAACACCTCCAATCTATGAATGTGGAAATAACTAGTCACCTTGAGACAAACTGTACTGCATCAGGATTGAAGCTGTCTGTACCGAAAAGCCTCTTTGTTACTATTTCTTGGAGTTGTTTGTGAGTGTAAGCGTGGAAAGTCAACCTCGTCAATCCTAGACGGCTGGTTACCCTGCTCATCAGTAGTCTCTCAGGTAGGTCCATTGTGTTCGCTATGGTGATAACTACTAATTGGTTTTTCGCTTTCGTTGGCCAATCTAGTAAGTTATATACAACATCTTGACGTTTCGTACACAGTATGTCCAACTGAAAAAAGAGTTGATGGTAGTTGATTAGAAATGATTGTGAGAATGTCCCAAAAAAAAGATCTATTTTTTATGTCCGTACAGCGCCATCTGCCCGCAAATAGATCAAGCAATAATGTTGATAATTCTCCCAAATACAGATCCCAAGCTTGAGAGTTACAAACATACATACATACAGGTGAAGCTGATAAAAGCGTGTTAAAATGCAGCAATGCATATCTTACAACACCATACGTTTATTTAATAAGTTTACAATTAAGAATCTCACTGCTGTATTTCATTTCAATTCCCTTTATCAATTTAGACAAGGCAGATTGAGACCCCAGTTTAGTGATAGCTTTTTGAAAATGGCTTCAAAGTGGAGTTGGTTGTGAGAGTATAGCAGTGACGGCTCGTGCATTGGAGAACAGGGGAGGCTAGAGTCATATAGACTATATACACGCAGAAAAGCCCGCCGGAGGCGCGAAAATTTTTATGTTGTTGCACGCTTTGCTTAATACTAAAGTTAGGGCATGAGCATGACAATGCGTAAAAAGTGCATGAGTAGCTATGGACTTTATTTTAGTTTGTAAACCATTTAAATGGCCGGCAATGACCGCAGCCCCATCATAGGTTTACGTAATTAACTTTTGCCTAACATTATAGGTGTCATTATAGGTGTCACGTACGAATTGAAAAATTAAACAAATCGTCAGCTGTGCGCCCAGATGAAACATCATGAAAACACATAAACCGTTCTACCACATTACCATCTTTGACATATCTAGAAACGATTGAAAGTTGTGATGTACAGGTAATATCGGTAGTTTCATCAATTTCCCATGCAAAAAAAGAAACACTTTCAATCATCTTGCCTATATTTTCCTTAATAATATATGCCACACTGTCTCATTTTGGATGGTTTTTGAGGTACCCGAAAAAACGCTACCGTTTAAAGAAGTGCCAAATTGTAAATCATATTTGCCCCATAACACGGGGTAAATTTTTTAAATCGGAGTATCCTATTTCAGACCACGTTTGGTATTCGGTTTGTACGGAAATTAAACACAGGGCCAACAAAAAAGTTTTTCTCGTTTAATGGAGCCATCGGTCCGCAACCCTGGAGTCGCAAAAGATATTTATGGGGTCGTCAAAAAAGTCAACAAGGTCCTGTACTTATTAAAGCTCGAGCATTAAACAGTCGCCTTTTCAAAATAATGTGTCGCGAAATGGGATCAGAATACGAAAATCTACTGTTACATACGGAGGTCAGGTGGTTATCGCGAGGAAAAATACTCCAACGTGTATTTGATCTCAAAGATGAAATCAGAATAGTTCTATTTGAACGGGAACCAAAGCTAGCAGAATATTTCTTGAATGAAAATTGGCTGGCAACAGTTGGCTATCTTTCGGACATTTTTAAAAAACTTAATGATTTAAATAAATCGTTGCAAGGGAAGAGTGCAAATGTATTGATTTTGGCTAACAAAATAAAAGCTTTTTGTAGGAAAATAAGTTTGTGGATAGACGAAATCAGTGCTGAAAACTACGAGATGTTTGCATGTTTGGAGAAATTTTCTGAAGAAAACAATATTAAGCTCGAAGAAGAAATTAAAACCAAAATCATCATGCATCTTACAAACTTTAGGCAAGACTTGGTAATACGATTCTCAGATACGTCACACGGCGACCAATGGATATTCAATCCATTCACTTGTGATCTTAACAGTGTGAGGATGAACTTAAAAGAAAAGGAGCAGCTGATCGATTTATTGCCGATGAAATCCTTTGATCCATTTTCAAAACCACGGATCTATCCAAGTTCTGTATAATGATGGAAAAGGAATATCCACTGTTATACAAAACATCTCTGCTGAAATTGCTGCCATTCGCATCTACATACTTGTGTGAGACAGCTTTCTCCACATTGACTGCTATAAAAACAAAATATCGCTCCAAACTTAACGTAGAACCTAATTTGAGGGTGTCTCTTTCTGATAATATTCACCAAAAATTAATATATTGACTTCAAGTGTGCAACCACAAGGTTTACATTAGTTTGTAAACTTACGTATATGTACCTATTTTTTTTTTTTATAAAATGTTAAAATAATTGATTGTCTCATTTAATGCCATCATAAATATTATGTTAAATGCATATTTTCTAGTTTGCTCTAATATTACTTTCCAAAAAAAATAAACTCTTCAACATAATTTATGAAATAAAAACAGCCAAGTACAACAAGGAGGATAATTGAAGTTTACCTTGATTTCGTTACCTGAATCAAACTTTGCACTTGTTAATTTAGTGATGTTTTTTCTGGGGTCGCTCATAACTCTTTTTTTAATTTTGGGGTCGCAATATCAAAAAGGTTGCGGACCGCTGGTGATAGTGTTTTTTCGGGCATATTATGTATTTATATTAAAAATTAATGGTAAAGTAATGATACCCAAGCATTTTTAGGAAAAAATAATCATAATTATTTGTCAATATCTCTCAATTTATTGCGATGAATAGTCTCAAATTTTATGGGGAGGCTAAGCCTCCCTTGCTTCCTCTGACGAGCCGCCGCTGGAGTATAGCATTTCTAATGTGTAGTAGTGTGGTAGTAAATCTCTGTGTTCTGTTAGTCACATATCACTATTATTATTCACTTGAACTCACCTCATCTATCAACATGACGATAGGTTTGACATTTTTCGATTTTGTAAACATTTTTTCCAAAGTGCTCTGGGCTTGTTCCCAAGGAACAGTTTTTCCAGTGAGTTGCTTCAAAATCTAGAAAATCATTCACATCAAGTATTTTAAAACACGCACAGAAGGTATATTTCGATTACCTCTACGTAAGACTGCCTCGGTTCAGTCAATTTCATTCCGTTGATATTCACAAACGTGAATTCCGGAACGTCGTCAGTCTGTGACAATTTATTGATAACAGAAGTCACGGTGGCAGTTTTCCCTGTACCGGGAACTCCAGATATGTACATACATCTGAAATAAGGAAAAAAATTGTATAGTTTTCGTCTCTGTCAATCTCATGAACTACTCATGTCTTTCCATATACTTATTCAGTTCATCAAAAACTGGAAAAGAAATGGTTTGTACTTACCCCCCACATCTATCCAACAATTTCCCCTCTATAAAGTTATAGACATCGCAATACTCCTTCTCCCGACATGGCAGAGACTCAGGAACGTACGAAACGTGCAGCTGACTCCTCGCTTTCATGAGCGGCGTACTATCGCCTACCACTTTTTCGCTCCTGACATGCATGGAAGGGGTCACGACCCCTTCCCGAATCAACTTCAACCTGCTCCCCGGAGTTTTTGGGGTTTGTAAGCGGGGGGTCTTTGGCGTTTGTGGGACGACACCTTTAGATGCCTGTCTTGTGGTGTTTCTCGGGGTTTGTTTGATCCTCCTGTTTTCAAGACTCGAAGGCTTGGGGGTATTTTTGGAGTCGGGGTGTTTTTTGCGAGATTTTGGGGTTCTAACAGTGAAGTCGGAATCTTCATCGCTGCTGGTTGAGAATTTCTTCGGTTTTCTTTTAGAGCGAGGGGTTCTTAAGACGAGACTAGAAAATGTAAGATGACAAATTTTATAAGACTGTACTACGCCTATGATTTTAACAGATCAGATAAATGATTCATTGATTGTTTAGATCAACAATAAAAAAATAAGAGGTCACTAACATACTGCTAAATATAGAGTTATGAGTGTGAACTGCACACCAAAAGTTGTAAAATTATCGAACATTGCAGTATCACACGAGTAATATACTACTCTGTTAAAAAATAAGGTGAATTTTCATTTTTCTCAAAGAATATTCATTCAATAATCAATTTCTATATTGTCACCTCGAAAGTAGTCCCCCTCAGATATAATAAACTTGTGCCAGCATTTTTTCCAATCCTCGAAGCAGTTCTGATACACAAATCTGGCGAATACGGTGGCTGAGACATGCTTATGTTGTTGTTTTTGGGCTTGGGTTCGATGTCAAAACCATAGTGTTGTTGCTTGTTCGTAATTTTTTAGCCAAAAACACCCTAATCACGTCTCAGCCACCGTATTCATCAGATTTGGCCTCCTGCAACATTTTCCAGTTCCCAAAATTAATTGATAATAAGTTGAAGTTTGACGATCAAACTATCACTTAACAAAAAACTTTCATCTGGATGTTATTAAGATGGTTAGGCTCCTATATGGAGAGGCGCTGTATGTCAGTCAAATATGGAGGCACCATGTCAGATGAGCATGCCGTTAAACTGGGTACCCTAAATTCAAGTCTTCCCATACCTAACACTACTTTAATTAAAAATTCTATATTGTATAATGGTCTCAAGATGTATAATCATCTTCCAAACTAACTGAAATGCATAGCAAACTGTACTGAATATCGAAAATTAACAAAGGATTTTCTTATCGAGAGGCCCTATTATAGTTTGCAAGAATTTTATCATTTTTAGTAAAGAAAGTTTTTGGCTTTCTACTACTCCATCTTGATACAAAAAAAGATGTGGGAATCTTCCAAAGAAAGGAGGGAATTAATCAATTTGAAAATAAGTAACTCTATACATGGATGTGTAGATCATGCAAAGAAGTAACTTTCAGACACAAACTGGAAGAAAGTCCTACTGAAACAGCTACTTTCATATAAACATTGAATTACACGAAAGAAAAAAATTCTTTCAAAACAAATACTTTCATATGAACACTGAATTATATAGAAAATACTTTTCTCTACTCAGTTTGGAATGGTAACAAATTGCACTTACATGGAACACTGTCATCCTCACTGGTATACATCGATGTTTCGCCGTAAGACACTTGCCTTAAGGCTCTTCAGTACCAAATTGGATAACATTATAGAAAATACACACAATTCATTCATGAATTTGATTTATTCCCAGCCAAGAGGAATCTTATTTGAATTGAAGGGGTTATATTTTCAGGAGTGATTAATTTTTGGGAAAGAAAGTTTTTGGCTTTCTACTACTCCATCTTGATAGAAAAAAAGATGTGGGAATCTTTCTTCCTTTCTTTGGAAGATTTCCACATCTTTATTATTAAAATCGAAGAGACCCATGAAAGGATGGCGTTTTGCGACGATGAAGGAGATAAAAACTGAATTGCCGAGAGAGCTCAAGAACATACCAAAAAGTGCATATCACGACTGCTTCGAGGATTAGAAAAAAGACAGGCACAAGTGTATGTATGTGTATGTATATCTGAGGGGGTCTACTTTGAACTAGACAGACTAGAAATTGATGAATGAATTAATAATTTTTGAAAAGAATTAAAATTCAGCTCATTTTTTGTACAGACAATGAACAGTACCCATGAAAATGTTTTCGAATGAATCAATAAGACCAATCAAATACGCACTTGTTCTGCTCCTGGTTTCTGCCTTCGGATACATTAACCCCGTCTTCCCCATCTTCATTGCGAATTTCCTCCAAATTGTATTCCTCACTTTCCGCATCCAGTTTAGTGAGTTTAACTTTCAAAATACGAGTCCTCATAGAGTCATCAAGGCTTGATCTGAAAAAGATACCCAATTCATCTCCCATAATTTCAATGAAAGAACTATTAATAGTTGTGAAGCGATGAAAATGTTTATTACGTAGTATTTGAAGCTGCCAGGTCATCCTCGTTATATGAAATTCTCCTGTCTCTCCTACTCCTAACACTCCTGGTCGGAGAGCTCGCTTCTTCAGCTTGAGGAAACCGAAGTGACCTTCTGGCAGGTGTTATCCTAGGGCTCCTCTCATTGAGTGAAACTGCATAATCTAGGAAATGCCTTGGAGTTGTAATGTTCCTCTTGGATGAAAGTTCCAACTAAAACCGATACTATGAAGACATTCAAATATTTTTGTATAAGATAATATACCTCTGTCCTGGTGTTTTTTCTTGAACTGCCTTTCAAATTTCTCGACGGAGTGCTTTTGGAAAATTTAGTCTTGCTACTAGTACAGTGTTCGTCGTCAGAACTGTCTCCAGTTTTCAAAAGTTGTCTTTTTGTTGGGGTACCTTTCTGAGGAGAAATATAATCAGCATACGACTGCCTGGCTACATTTCTTTTGGATTTTCTAACTTGGGGAGAGCTATCACCATCGTTTTCCAGCTTACTTTCAAGTTTTTTAGAATTATTTTTATCGGATACTCTTAGCTTCACAACCAAAGGTTTATCATTTTCATCATCAGTTATGTTCACTATGGAATAATTCAGAATAGAATTGTTATTATCCTGTGGAGAATTACAGAAAGATTTATTGAGATTTCTTTTAACTGAGTTCCTTTTCGGCGTGGAGATGTCTTTAACTGCATTAGAAATGTTTGAATCTTTGACAAGGCCTTCAGGTGTATTTTCAGTGTCCATACTCTGGCTCTTTCTTAGGACTGTTCTTAATTTGGAGCTAGGACTATTTAGTGATGATTCGCTCAGAACTGTTGTTTCGCTCAATATTGGAATAAGTTTATTCGAAAGCAACGAGAAGCGAAGAATGAAGTTGCTACTTTCATCCAGGTCATTGATTCTAATGTAATTAGGATCATCATCTTCTAGAAGCAAAACTAACCAGCACTTTCTAATTATCTGATTCAGGTCTATGACATAATCATTTGATTCATCAGCCACCACCTTAAATAACAATAGAATATAAATAGTGTGATGAATAAACCTAAATTACTACATATTGATAATAATAAATCATGCTTTGATATTATTTATGTCAAAACTTTCATAAAATCAATTCCTACAAGTATTTTGCTGCATGACAGATTCATCAAAAATAAGAATGGAGATATCAGAAAAATTGGAAGTGTATACTCATTTCTGATGAGAGTAATAAATGAATGAACTCAACTTCTTGGTGTGAATCTTTACTTCATGGATGTAAATACATGATCAAAGTTCATAAAATGAATTCTTGATTGAAAATGTTGAAATTTTTGTATAAACTTTTTGTACTGTAAATATAATCATTTCAAACTCATATTGAATGCACAAAAAACACTCCAGCAAGTGCAATCTGGTTGAAGAGTGAATGTGATTCTTACAGGGAAATTTTCAAGATATTTATTTACATATATTAATGTTGCATGTCCAAAAGCATTTATATACTGCCGCCACCACTAGAAATACTACTAATCTAAAGCTGAATGACACATCTCCAACTTATGCCAAGAAAAAATATATTATAAGAAACATTGTTTTGAGAAAGTGTAGCAGTTGATAAGGTTTCGAACATTTTGTGTAACTCATTCTACAAAATGTGTGTATTACATTTGAGTATCATATTTTTATTACCTCATTTTTCTCATCCATTAAATATCCCTGTTTTTTAAAAGCGGATTTAACATTTCTGGCGAAAACATATTTTCTCACAACTGCAGCTGTGATTTCATCATATGTGAGGAATATACATATTAACTTTGCCACTTCATAATCACCATCAGATTTGATCAGAACATGGTCACCCTTGTGGAAATGGTCTCCACCAATTGAAATCTCGCTATAAAATGAATCTGTGAATAATTACCAAACTAAAAATATCAAATTGAAATACTACCTGAAGCACAAATTCACGTTTCTGTTGGAATAATGATAACTGCAATTTGAGGTAGTGGATAATAAACTTACTTCACGAGTTTCGTCTAATGAATTCATCTTTTTTTAAAGTAGATTGTGCACGCTCTGCAAAATTAACATTGAAAACAATTTTAAAAAATACTGACTCAACAAATTAAAATATAAATAAATTGTTCACTATCAACAACAACACATGTTCAATTTTGATTGTCAACATTTGGCGCGAACTGCATACTTATTTTTCTGTTTCTTCTTTATTTACCTCTAGTAATCATTACTTATAGAGAAGGAACCATTGCCACAAGGTGGCGATACAAACGTCTAGGAATACAAAGAATTATCAAAGTAAAATTTTGTATTGAAATTTTTACGAAATGAAATGTTCCTTTGAGAGAAAAAAGAAATCACTTGCAATAATTGGATACGCAGCACTATGGAGTGGATGACATCTTACTTTCGATAATTCGAATCTTAAAATCTGAAAAAATATTGATTTTCGTTGGAAATCGTATTCATGAACAATCAACCATTTTGGAAAACCGAGAAATAGGGACATATAGATTCGCTACACCTCTCGAAGCGAAGCAGTAACACGTCTTGATAATGCCATCTGAGATGATGGCGAAACGTCGAATATCGAATAGTACACAACGGATGAACACCCGGAAATCCATGCGTATCCAAATATGAAGACGGAGAACCGGGGCTTGCTTCGACCCCAAGCAACAGCTGCAGTTCTAGTCTCTTTCGCTATGTCCTAAACATAATCGGATGAAATGCCTTTTTTGTAATGTTTTCCAATGTGGTTGATTGGAAAAATAAAAGTTGCGCTAAAGACGTTCCGCTACACTCCTACACGTTAAATCTAATAACTGTTCGTCTTCATGATTATTCATTATTGTATTTTGTTAGGATTAAATATCCTAATGAGACCATGAAAGTATTCTTGTCCCACGATTTCTGAACATTTCACAAACATTAAACATTCTTTTACTTTTTTGGGAAACTTTTGATAGTCTCCAGAGACATATATGTAAAGAAGTTGGAAGACATAATCCCATGCATCCATTTCTGAAGATGATGTAAGCAAGAATAGACGTGTATTAAAATTGAATAGTTTTTAATTCCATCATTTATCCGATTCCTTAATAATAGCGTGTGCTATTAGTGAAAACGAAGCATATTCAGTGTATCTCTGTCCTTTATTTCTCAATAAATTAATAAACGACTGAAATACACTTATTGAATATGGGTGTCATCAATGAAAACGCTATTAAAGTTTGAATATTTCATTTTCTGTGCGAAATTCGTACATGCATGGCTACGCCGCAGAATGAAGTAAACTTTAAACTTCTATACGGTGACTCTGTCACAGTATTTTGTATACAGAAATACTGTGACTCTGTGGTTTTATGATTTTTATAAAGTGACAGTTGTCAGTTATAAAAAAAATCAGTGTTAACAACAATGGATGTGGATGGATTGGATTCTGAAAGTACTACAACTTCTATAGACGAAAATACAGAAAATTTTTGTGAAAATCCAACCCGCGATACCCTCACCGAGGGTTTGATGGGCCTAATTAAACCTACCGTAGACCAATTAGACGAAAGAGTACGAGCCACAAGGTTAGAGATTTTACAATTGTTGTCAATATTTTGATATTGTTTTTTTCGTTCATTAGGATATCACAATTGGAACTGAAGCAGTGTATAGAAAGTCTGAGTGAAGAATTAAAAACCATTGCGGATTCTCAAAAAAACTCCATAGATTTGGAGATTTACGTCAAGAAACTAATAAATGCCAAACAAAGGGTTACCATATTATCAAATATCCTGCAAAATACACAAGACAGGCTAAATAAAGTTCATAAGTCAATAGACAAAGAAATAGGCGACAAGAAATATATTCTAGGAATTGAAAAGTCTATAGTTCAAACTGAAGATCATGTCGATCATTACACCTAAGTATAATTTGCAGTCTTTTCCAGATGTATATGAACCAAGCGAAGACACGTTTTTACTGCTGGATGCTCTTGAATGTGATACACAATTTTTGCTTGATTTGAAACCCAGACTAGTGGTTGAAATTGGTTCGGGAAGTGGGGTGGTGATCTCAGCTCTGTCTCAGATTTTTCACACATCTTGTATGTACTTTGCGACAGATATTAACCCACAGTGTTGCTTGGCTACACAAAACACCTGCATATTGAATGACTCAAATGTAGAATGTACAAGAATGGACTTGCTCGTAGGATTTCGGGAACACATGTTTGATGTGATAATATTCAATCCCCCGTATGTTGTAACACAAACAGTGGAACTTTATGGAAGTGGGTTGAATCGGGCTTGGGCTGGGGGCCTTCGTGGTCGTGTGATAATCGACAGACTAGTCAATGAATTGCCGAAACTTTTGTCAAAAAATGGAGTTTGTTATATGGTTTTGTTGAAAGAAAATGAACCTGACGAAATCGTAAAAACTATGGATAAATATCATTTCAAAAGTGAAGTAGTACTTGAAAGAAAAATTCCTGGGGAACGTTTGTTTGTTTACAAATTTTTTAGAATGTCAGCATAGTTGTTAGAACTTATCATTGAGTTTATTGTATATATTCAAAAACAATGCTTTATAATCTTTTTTTCTATTTAGATCAATAGTGCTAATTCATTGTTAATCTATATTTCTTTACAAATCTTTGAATTGTCGAAAGATTTTTGGCATCAAATCAGTTTATTTTGATATGTGATGGAACTGGCCTATACTTGGTCTATATTCAATTAACACTTGAGACACATGTGAAGCCTTCATATAATGAAACACTTTGTCAGGATTGAGTGAAAATCTCATAATGAACTATTATTTGAATAGGTTATTTTGAGTACCTCAAAGTCAGTAGTGATTTATTTCTACAGTAAAAGTAGCTTACATTAGGTGAAAGAGCTTTTTGAGATAATATTGATATGTCATATAAAGTTAAATTTTTGCGAACAATTTTTGTTAGCATTTTTGGTTTTAAAGCAAATGAAAAACTACTGACCAAAAATTTTCTATTGCCAATCTATTATGCTTGGATTATTTTCTTTTTTCGTAAAACGTATTGGAATTATATAACAAATTATACTTTATTCATTTCTGTTGTTAAAAAGTATATAATAAACAATAAAACAGCAAAATTGCAAGGAAACATCAATAAGTATAAGTAGTATCAAAAGTAAAAGACAAATAGATACAATGGAAACGTGAAAGTGATCTGTCAGTTAAATCCAACTATGAAGTAGCAATTTTTTTCAATTTTGATTTGAAGATATGACTATTTGGTAAATTTTCAATAGATTCATTTAGCTTGCTGAACAATTTGGACCAAGAAGAAGATAGCTTCCCTGAAAGCAGGTTCCCTTTGAATGTTCAAGTTGATATAATCTTAGATTAATTTTTATACACAAAAGTGTATAAATGTTGTCTCCACTATGAGTGAGCAATGATTTTACATGACGGTTTTATAAGATGAACAGTCTATTTGCTGAAGTTCTTACATAGTGAGCCCAAGCAATTCGCTGTTCATTAGGATTTTTAGAGTGTAAAAACACATTGTGAGATTGATTTCTAATATGGAATATAAATATAGCTGCACCTTCGTATTTGTATAAATGTATTGATTTTGTGAGAATAAGATTATCCTTATTGCACATGACATGGTAAAAAACTAATCTCTATTTATTATATGGAAGATTCTTTTATCGAAAAATATTTTTATAATCCTCGGAAAGAGTTTCATTTAATGTTTTCATTAATTACCAAAGACTCGTTGAAATTTATTTATATCACTGAAGTTTTTCAACTATATTTGTTAAATACTGCATATTTTATGAATCATTGGTTAAACGACCGTAAGTTTTCAGTTTACCTGTTCCGTTGTCAACCAGGTCAATAAGAACTTTACCCAGGTTATAATTAGCAATCAAGTGGAATAATATTGACGAGTTCTTTTAATCTGCCCGTCTTCTATCACTGTCATTTTCAAACAAATTCTTGTAATTACAAAACTGCGTTGAGCAAAAAATGAAATTGAATAATGAAATAATTATTCATTTCCAATACGTTTCCATAATTAGTCATCAGTATCAGGTTGAACACTTCTTAAAATTAAAAAGTTGGTAGGTGAACTATTGAATGTAATTTATTTACATAAATATCGATAAATATAAACCAATAATTACAATGAAACGTGATTAATAATTATGCCACACTGAAGTAAGAGTAGAGTAGATTTTTAAACAGGTTACACCCGGTGTGTTACAAACTTCAAAACGATTACGCTTCTGTGACTTGACAATTGACATCGACATTTATGTCAGTTCAGTTGACATGACATAAATCGATAACCTTATAGGGAAATATTTTTATGTTGATAAATTTGGGATAAATTAATTTAAAAAAATGTTCAATCAACCTACGTTAGGTACGTTCGGTGGCACCGCCACTCCAAATACAGCAAATCCAATGAAAGATTTCGAAGTGGTACAGCCCCCTGAAGACTCTGTTAGCTCTTTGTCGTTTTCTCCGGCAACTTTACCTCAAAATTTTCTCATAGCTGGTAGTTGGGATAACAATATCAGATGTTGGGAAATCGAACAAAATGGTACAAGTGTCCCAAAGTCCATGCAGTCTTGTGGGGGCCCTGTCTTGGATGTTGCTTGGAGTGATGATGGAACTAAAGTAAGTTAATTCTACCATAGGCGTACATTTTGAAATTGAAATCGTTTCATAAATAATGTCAAAACAATGAATAGTGGTTTAAAAAAAACTATAAGCTTAACAGAAACAGTTCGAAAATAAGTCAGCAGAAAAGTTGAGAAATAAAATTAGGGTCGAGAACAGATTAGTTATTTTAGTGATTTTTTTTTCTATTGCATGAAAATATTTGTAATAAGTGAAAAAGTAAGAAACCTACATTCAAGAAAATAAACACTCTGAAAGTTGTCGACAATGGTGAATGTTACAAGTTCATACTTCTATTGTTCGAACTGGTGTTAACATTTTAGAAGAACAAAAATAAATGAAAGTGAAAAAAATCTTTAAATTTCAATTTCAGATCACAATATTGTATTTTTCACCAATTTTTTTTTTAATAAATAACCATTTCATTTCAAGGTATTCATGGCTGGATGTGATAAACAAGCAAAAATGTGGGATCTTGCCAGCAATCAAGTGGTGCAGGTAGCCGTGCACGACGCACCAATCAAAACCTGCCACTGGATTAAAGCTCCCAATTATTCCTGCCTCATGACGGGTTCTTGGGACAAAACGCTCAAGTTCTGGGACACGCGCAGCCCCAATCCCATGATGAGTATTAATTTGCCTGAGCGATGCTATTGTGCAGATGTTGACTATCCGATGGCCGTGGTAGGTACAGCGGGAAGACAGATTATAGTGTATCAATTGGAAGGAAAGCCTCAGGAGTACAAGAAACTGGATAGTCCTCTGAAGTACCAGCACAGATGTGTAGCGATTTTCAAGTGAGTTTGTTTGAAGGAAAAGAGCATTTCTTTCACTTAGTTTGTAAAACTTTCAAAAATATAGAGTAGGTAGATGTAGAGGCAAGTCAAAAATAATCACATGTTTGAACATGCACAAAAAAAAAACTGAAAATATATATTCTTATACTAAAATTAGTCAGTTTGATCAAACTCAAATTGGCACTATTGTTAACTTCTCTATTATTGAAAATATGAGTTTGGTTAAATTAGAGTACTCATAGTGTTTTTTTGGCTGATTAACGTGGTGCTAACAGAAAAACAATTCAATATCACGTTTTAGATTTTGGTGTGATAATAGGGTATTTTCTTGGACCATCAGAAAAGTTTTAAAAAATATCTAGAGAACTGTTTTCGTATTTTTCTATGGCAAAGATATTTACACTATAATTAAAACACAAGAAATATAAAAGACTAGGCGATTAATACACAGTGGAAAAATCAACAAAAGTGAGAAATTTCCACGTGAGTTCATACCTCATAGAGAAATTATCTTCTAGTTTTATCAATAGACAATGGAATCCGAACCATGAAAATCCTTATAACTATTAAAAAATATTAAAATGACCTTTATAAGGTTTTCAAATTACAAAGTTAGGAGCATGGAAGTGCTCTTAAGGTGAAATTAGACGCAATAAGTGAATGACTATGTTTTTTAGGGACAAGAAGAAATCTCCAACAGGCTATGCTCTAGGATCAGTAGAAGGCAGAGTTGCCATTCAGTATGTCAACCCAGCCAACCCAAAAGACAACTTCACATTCAAATGTCATCGATCTAACGGGACTCCCAACGGTTATCAAGATATCTACGCAGTGAACGATATTGCATTCCACCCCGTTCACGGAACACTGGCTACGGTTGGATCCGATGGATCGTTCAGTTTCTGGGACAAAGATGCGAGGACAAAGTTGAAACCTTCCGAACTGATGGAGCAACCTATTACGAGGTGTGCCTTCAACCACAACGGTCAGATATTTGCCTATGCTGTCAGTTATGACTGGAGTAAGGGGCACGAGTTTTATAATACGCAGAAGAAGAATTACATTTTCTTGAGGCCTTGTTACGACGAGCTCAAGCCAAGAACTTCTTCGTAAATATCACCTTTTATCAATTCCATTACATGCCTTTTATTTTGAAAATATACAAAATACAAAGTTATAATGTCTTTTCCATTTTATATATGTCATGATTCATGAAAGAGAATATGCAGAAAATGAACATTAGATTTGAAAAATATTTCTGATTGGACTACAAAGTTTTTTAAAAATATTGACTTCAGATATTTTTAAATTTCTTTAATATTTTTCTAGAAACCTAGGTATATTAGTGTATATCCTCCACCTATTAGGTAATAAAGTCTTTCGATACGATGATGTGTTTTTAGTTAATTCAGGTATTTTGAAATAGGTCAAAGATGTGATGAAAGCAAATTCAAGTGACACTCCATTGAATAGTTTACAAATCCGAAACATTTGTTTCACTATACACTGGCCTCTTCATGTGTGGTCATAGAAACTGAATTCTACATAATTAGTAATTTATATAACAATTCAAATCATATGTCCTATATATTTGATGACTAATTATTGTATCTGTATAAACTACTTTGAAATTGAAACTTGTCATGTTGTCATGAAACTTGTCAAATGGACATGTAATAGACTAATTACAAGTTTCTACATTGGAAAACCGATTAAACAAAAGGAAATAATTCAATTCTATTTGGTTATTCTGTTAAGTTTTTAAATCTGTCAACTAATATCGATCTTTTCTGTTCAAGATGTAACAAGTCATAGCCATGGTTAAACTCAGGCCCCTGGTTTGCAAATGTAAAATCGGTTTCCATTTTCAAAAAACTACTCCCGTGTTCTTTCGTTCTTCGAGGAAATGTTCTCCCCGTTTGACCAATATAAAGTTTTGGGCTAGAACCACAGATCAACTCATATACTCCTGATCTATCCTACACGGTTCATAAATTGCTGGTCTCGTATTCACGTCAAATATGAATTTTCTCTATCTCTTATGGCATTGCCCGTAACTGAAATCTCCATTATACAGCTCTGTTTTGTTTGGTTTTACGCAATTTTGTAGGGATTATTTCGGCTTTGAAATTATTAGTGAAATTATGCTGATCATTCAGACTTTTTTAGAAATAGACCAGAAAAAGATTGTAAATCTGTAATAACTACTTCTCTTCATGGATGTAGAACCAAGTAGTATCTTTGATACTCTCGACAAGTGTTTTACTGATAAAGTGAAACACACGTCAAGAGAATCGCAATTTGTCTGTTTGGGACAGTGTTTGTTTTAGGTAATGTACATGACTAGCAAAGAAAGGGGCATATTGACGACTTTCCTTAGATTCACATAAAATTTCCATTACTTGCTAATGAACTACCTTACCCAGGATCACAATAACTCTTTCCAGTTATCTTCTTTTGGTATTGGCGAGATTTAGTTATCAGTTACTTGCATTTGTAAGTATACTTCACATATAGCATTCCTTTCCTATGAATTGGGCTAAAAGTAATTTTGGCTGATGTGTGGAAATAACTTACACACTCAATTTCTATGAAAAAGTTGAAGAATAAAGCAAAAGCAAACATTTACGAATAATGTATTCTCGATAAACATTTTATAAAATACTTAATTATACACAACTAAAAGAAGTACAAAAATTTCCAATAAAAAATCAAAACAACAAAAAGTCCAATAAATTAAATAAGATATCGTCAACAATTGGTAGATTTAAAACTAGATTTCGTAGAATATAATTCCAAATAGTAGAGACATTGGGTATAAAATTAATTCAAATGCATAAGATATTCCTAATTTCCATCTAGACAGCCTATTTTTCCACATCACTCACTTTTTCCCAGTCTCCATCGAGACTGCTGCTGCTACTAGGAGTACTTAAAGCAGAATCACCTTTATTTGATTTCGGAGAATTAGACAGAACATCATTCTTGCTAATTTTGGGTTTAACCTCCCGCTTTGGAGACTCCTGTTTGAATACAACTTTTTCCCCAATGGGAAGTTTAGCGGTTTTGGGACTATAACTAGGCATTTGTGACTTTTTTTCGTTTTCATATTGCTCCAGTAATTTTATTTGCTCCTCCTCAGTCAGCTCTACGTCTGGTCCGAAATCTTCTGAAAATCAGAAAAAATAAAATGTACATCTCCCAAGTAGTTTCAAAGAAAGGGGATGCATAGTCTTATGACCAGTCTGTAGATTATATTTATTTAGACTGCTGGGCAGTACCAAAGTTCCCAAAATGAGCTCTAATATGTAATAAGTTATTGGTTACTTTGTCAGATTATTTAAGATTAGGTAATATTATAAAAAAAGAACAAGTCGAATTTATTTGTTCATCTCTAAATCAACATTTCAAAATTTAACAATGTTCCCAAAGATGGGCACGTCAAAAAAAGTATAGTATATTGACCAAAGAACTACCCAAATTACTATATGTTGGCAACAGTGATGCCTAGAAGTCGGAATTTAAAAATAATTGTACAAGGTTGATAATGCATTGTCAGCATTCATAATTGAAATGTATACGTTTAAAAACAAACTAATATTATTATCCCAAGGGAAAAGGGAACTTTAGTAAAATGATGGAGTTTGCCAAAAGGAAAATGTACAAAAACAGTGTAGTTTGCAGACCAAAGTGAATAAGAAAATCAGGTTTCGAACATAATTGTCTAAAATTGTATGTTTCATATATTTTCATTTCAGTTTATAGTTCTTTCAGGGTGGTTAAAATTGCCCTGTCATAGTTCATCTGTCAATCTAGGAATTTCAGTGAGCATTCTCACTGAGCAAAACGAATAGTCCTACCTTGATCCCACTTCAAATTCTCCTCAGAGTCAAGTTTGTCCTTCTGATCTCTTTTCCCTAAAGCTTCCTCTCTAGCAAATTGATCTTCCAATAAAGCTTTCTTGAATAGATACCTAATAATAAAATGAACAATAAAAATAAAAACCACATTGCGTTTTATTTTTTGTTGGAATACCTTTTCCAAAAAAGTTGATGTTCTACAATTTCAGGGACAAGTTTTGCATACTGTCTTTTGAGAACTTCAGAACTATTTACTTGTTTAGCTATCCTTTCATCACACAACTGATCATCAATTATTTCTAGCCAACACTGAAACTGCTTATGTAGTTCTTCCTCCGGGTCACACAGGAATGTTCTTGGATCATTTTGAAGTTCATACAAAGCCTTCTACAATTACACACTGATTTTACAGAAAGATACCCAACATCCTCAGTGATTTACCTGGAATTTTGTTAAAGTTACTGTCTCCGAGTTTTCTACAATTAGAACCTCTGTATCAGAGTCATCAGGGCTTGGATTTAAAACATTACTCATCTGACCAATAAAGGAACTGAAACTTCGTTTCATGTTACTAGCTGTAGAGTCTGGAGAGTCAAGCTGAAAAGTATTAAACTGGTTATTTCACAAACCTTTGGCTGAGGGAACTTACATTCAGTGTTTTCTCAATAACTGCGCCGGTTGATGAGACAACACTACTTGCTTCAGACTTGACAGCGGAACCGAATTCTTCCAAATCTTTTTTGACAAATTCCAAGACTTCGGTGCTCTGAAAATATGTATTTCATTACGGATACCGTCCTCTCTATAACGAACACCCACCTTATTTTTAGCTGCATTCAACCAAGAGCTAAACGCCCAGCTGTTATCAGACCTGAAAAGTAAATATATAATATTTTTGTGATAACAAAAAATGTATTTACAAAATGAGCAATGATAAATTTTACAATTACTTCTCTGCCATTTTTAAGGCCTTATTGTCCTATAGAATTACACTAAAAATTTAGTATTGACGGAATTGACTTGGAAGTTATGCGAGTTTTTGTTTTTCAATAAAACGATGTATTATCAACATCCATAACACAATATTTGACAACTCTGTCCTCTGTCAATAACACAAACATAAAAGTTCTTCTGCTTCTTTCATTTCGTGACAACTACCAGGAATATACGGCCAGGTTATATCTACGATTGACGTGAAAAGATATGAAAGAAATATTTTGACACATTTTGAGGTTGTTTTTAGGTTCGATTGGCCATCTCATTATCAATTGAACGAATATATTGGTATGACTAACAAAAGTAAACTCTGAACTTGAATTATTAATGTTGTTAAAACAGACACCTATTTGTTCTTTTACGCCTAACTTAAACATAGATAATACTCAACAAGATTATTAGTCTTGCCTGAAGAAACTATTGTAAAACGAAACACAAGTTGTGAATTTACGAAATGATTACGTTAAAATCCAACAATATAAAGCGTTCTTTCCAAATAGACAAAATTTTCAATAAAAGACTACATGACTATGTGAACAGGACAAAATACAATAATTGAAAAATGCCAGAGGTGTTTTCTGGCATTTAATCGTATTCAAGCGTGTATTCAAAAACGATTCGTAGTAACGTCATTAATAACAAGATTGTATATACTTAGTCTAGATTTGTATTTTTGTTCCAACTGTCGTGATATGTTTTATTGTATTGTATTATTGCACAAAATCATATTTCAGATCATAGAGCTGAATTATAATAAATTTTTGGTATATTCAATTGTTACCTAAGTCAGAAACTAGGTTTCCTTAGTATATAGAATATTTTTTGTCCAAAAACTTTCAAAGATACATTAATTTAATAAAACACAAAATAAGGTCATATTGTTTTGTTTATTCTCCCCGTCAGACGAGGAAGTCAGTTTCAATACACATTCATTGAAAAAATGATCCACAATAATGGTTATTTTAAAAAAGTGATTTCTCTTGATGAGTCAAAAATCAGTTAACAAGAAATATAAAAACACTTGAAAGAATAGGTGTATGATGAAATTCAGCATTGAATATGAACATGAAAGCCATACGCAAAAACTGTTTACTGGGTCTGCTCTCTAGAATTGGTTGATATATTCCAGGCCATACAGTACAGTAGCTACGTGAGTGCAAACTTCAGAATGGCTTGCCATGCAGGTACAATGAGCTGAAATTATTGCACCATATTTCTCGAATATAATCCAGACTTGCAGTGGGGGATTGTTCCTCTGTGAATGCTTGACCTGAAATTAAGATACATATTCAGAGAAAAACATGAATAAATCAAGTTTGAAAAATATCTAAATACCTTGGCAATCACAACAATGTGCTCTCCCATTGACTTTGCTTCACAATCATGCACAAATCCAGCTTCAAAATATTTTTAGCCAGTCAACATACAACATATTGACATATGTTTACAAAAAGAATTTGAAACTTCAATAACTTCTACTTATTACATGCGAGCGCTTTCGATAGCAGGCTGTGCTATCATTTTCATGACTCTACATATATTTATATAAGTGTACTGTTTACTTTCCTAATCACCAGAAATGCAATACTCTTCTTAACGCGCGTTTCACCAACCAAGGTGGTGTCTTCAAATACAAAATAAGGACTTTTCGCAAACATGCGTAAAAACAGTTTTCTTACTTCATCTCCTGAAAGCGGCAACTTGGTTGGTGAAACGCGCTTCAGGAAAAGTATTGCAGTTCTGGAGTTTGGTATAAGTGGTTATTTTGTAGCATAATTATTCGCCTCTCAAAAGAATGAGTTGATGAAAACTGAAAAGACGGTTGTGATTTATGAAATGAGGCGTTTAAGATTGTGATAAAAAGTATGTTGATCAGATTGAATAAACTATTGACTTCATTGATTTGTGAGTTTCGAAACACTCTCAAAATATTAGAGTATGGTATGAGAACTGAAGACATTTTCCACCAGTTTCCAAAGTTCAAAAATACATTATCTTTCGTTTATTCGCTTAATATTTCCTTCAAAACTATCCCTGATGTTACTCCTGTACATCATATTTATCCCCATTGACCAACCCGGCATACATATTCAAATATTCACTCTGCAAACCGCCTGTTTCAAATTTCAGAACCAAATTGTAAATTATCGTTCCATGAGCTGCGGTAGTTTTTTTAACGTTGCTTACTTCTTCATAAAGTTCATTTTTTTGATTTGCACAAAAACCCTTGCGAAGTTTTTACTGAATGAAAAGAAACTGCTACACTACTGAAACATTCTATGTTTCGTTTTCGAGGTTTTACAGTTTTTAAAACAGAAAAATCAATTTTTGGATATTTATTTATTTTCCGAATCAGTTAGATTTTATAATGATGTATGATTTTTTTCACCACAAAATTTCATTTGTCAAATATTTCCTACAGTATATAATGATAAAAAACCGACTAACACAAAGATATTAAAAATATTGTTCAAGAAGTATAATACTAAAGACAACTATGATTCGTGTATAATCCTAAATAATGTAACCAACTTTCAGGTTCCTGACTCACAGAATTTGCGTATGTCCGGTATATTATATTGTTCCTCACCGAACGACAATCAAGCAATGTTTTTAATTCGCTGTCAACTCGTGATACGGTAAATTCGTCATGTGCATTTGCAGTCCACAAAGAGATTATACCTGTTTCTTTCCTAATATTAACAACACTACCATGAATCCTTTCTGATGCACTGAAATTTTCTCCGATCATGAACAAACAAGTTTTCTTCCAGAAAAATCTCAACATTTCATTCCCTCGGCCTTTTTCCATGGTGAATATCCATTTCCCGCTATCTCTATTACATTCATCCTCCCATATAGGCCGTATACCTTGTCTGAAAATCGCATAATCAAAATCAGTCTCCAACTCAGTGATTGCTGGAAATAAATCATCGTATTTCCTCTCGAATTCTCTAACATTCCAAAAATATGCTTTTGGTGTCAACCTCTCTCCCCACCGCAAGGTAGAGTCAGTTGAAATTTTCCAAAAGACCCAACAGTTAAGCAATTTTTTTGGAATGTGGTCTATAGTATTTCCAGACGTGTTTTCATGGACGTTACTGATTTTTGAGGTACTGCTGGCTTCATTTTCTTCCATAGACATATTGTCCATGTTCTCTTTGCATCTGTTAGACATCTTGATATTTCGGATTCGGTAAGTCACACCAAAAAAGCTTACGGATATTTGATTCGGAGCACTTCAACTGAAATTCAAGACTCGACTCTGACAATCCGTCGTGAATGGTTGTAGTGACCGCTAACAAATTCTACAAGTGATAACTGAACACTAAAAAAATGGGTAAAAACTGTAGCAAGATCTTAACTTCAATTTATATCAGTGAGACTTTTTTCCTAAGCGAAAGATAAAGTGGTTTTTTCAGAGGGGTATGCCGAATACTATCGGCATATATTCCTGATATTACCATGAGCTCCACTAACATACCGAGTGTTTCTGACTACAGGGACACTCAAAATAATCAATCAAATGTTCAATCCAACTCATGCTCTACTGCAGTCCAAAATTTTAAATTTCCATCCAGAGAGCAAGCCATACTGTTCAATTCTATCGAAGGAGTTAAAATACAGGAGTACTTCATCGCCATTGGAACCAAAGTTCAACCTAAAAATATAATTTTCTCCTCCAGGATCTCCAAAAACAGAGTTTGTATACACCTTTCCAGTCTTGCAGTTGTAGATACTTTCCTTCAACAAGGTGGAGAATTAGTGGTGAACCAACAACTACCGAAAGCCCGGAGGTTAATAACACCCGCAACTCGTTTAATCCTATCAAATGTATGCCCGTCGATTCCCCACATCATAATTGAAAATAGCCTTAAAAACCTAGAGGTTTGAGCCTTATGCCCCCTTTAACCTTTCTCAGAATCGTGATTTCAAAACCAGAGTTCAGCCATATTCTTAGTTTCCGAAGGCAAGTCTACGTTCAAATTGATACCTCTACCTTCTTAGAATCAATTGTTATTCCTTTGGAAAACACTCCATACCGTACTTTTCTATCCGAAGACACGCTAATCTGCTTAAAATGTAAAAAAGATGGTCATGTAGCCGCCGGTTGCACGGAAACAGTAAATGATACCCCTACCACGGTTAGTACCGAAAACCAATTGGAAAATGAATGCGTGGTCATTCAAACACAAATCACCAACCCAACAACACAAAAACGTTCAAGATCAGAGGTAACAAGCCTCACATTATCAAACACCGACTCCAATCCACCTAAACAGCCCGAGTTTATTCAGCGTTTTCGCAAACTCATAAGAAACCGAAGAAAACCTCATCAAACGCTACAGCTGCACACCTTTCTTCAGCGAAAAGGATATTTGACGATGAATCACCACCCTTTTCTCTAGACTTCAATCAAATGGCCAGCTCTGACTGAACGAAGTATTAAGGCTCGTATCAGAAAATTAAAGAGAGAGTTGATGAAACAACTGAATAATGAACTCGAAACAAACTCAAATATTTCCATTTCTGAGAACGAAAGCGACCTCTCACAAGAAACCTATTGACGTTTATGATCCCTTTTCTTAATTTTTTCTTCAATGGAACAAAATGGAGTATTTCCCCATCTGGAAATGCTCCAACTTCTGATGAATAAGGAAAACCCCTTAGTAATATGTTTGCAGTAAACTAACTTCAAGACTGCACATACATACGAAATGAAATCTTACAACTCTTTCCATAAAATTGGAAATAGCTCACTTATGGAGTCACCATTTATACTAAAAAATCGATCGCTTCAAAAATGGTTTCAATAGCGTCAGAACTCGATATAGCAGTTCTGTCACATTTCCGCGAAAATTATGCATCTGTAACGTATATATTCCACCGAATGTAGAGTTAACCTTTCGAGAACTTGACATGATAATGGGGAATGTCCCTCCTGACGAAAACGAGTAGTTTTCATAAAAAAAGCTCTAAAACAACGCATTTTAAACGTATCATTTCAACCTTTTTCTTTAAAAAAATATTTAAATACTTAAAAAAAAGGAGTGAAATAATGCATTCAACATTTAAAGGGGTTCGTTTCTATTTCACCATTTGGCAACATCGGTTATAGCTAATAAAGGACAATGAATCTGTTACCTTAAAATTGTAGATCATAAAATTCTCTACAAAAAATGTATCAATACTTTTTTTCCTTAGAGCCACCGTTTCTGAGATACGACGAGTCAAAAAGTTGTAATCTTCATTATATGCATAAGTATGCCACGTATATACATCTCTGAAGTTGTAATTTGAGTAAAAATATTTTTTTATTGATATACATAAGTATAAATATGAGAATATCAGGTAGAATTAAATCCAGTTTAGTTCACCAGTTTTCATGACACCATTTTCCATATCTCATCAGTTTTCAGTGGAATCACAATACCGGTGATTTTAGAAATACCAAACCAAATTTCTGATTACTTTTGGAACATATCTTTAAGGTGACGTAATGTTATGTCAATGCTGTCATCATGCTGCTGTCAACAATTCATCTTGCGTTCTCCGATTCAATTCCGTAATCCCGAATGTTTTTTAGTTGCGAACTGATGGCGAAGTGAGGAGGTGTGTTAAAAATCGAGCGAAAATGACGGAACGATTACGAAGAGACAGTTACTCAAATGCAGGATACATTTCGGGAAAAATGGCCAACGATTTCGGCCTAAGCCCTCGAAAAACTATGTTGATTTTGGTGATTGTAGTTGGCTGTTTTGCAATTTTGTGGCCAAAAGTGTTTTATCCCATGCTAGTAGGCTCTGCAACTCGTCATATAAAACCAAGCCCTATCGACAGGACGAAAGGTGAATATGTAATTTTACTTGCAATGCTCATATAATGTGAATCTTATAAACTGGTGTTATTCTAAGTTGTGTAAAAGGGTCGTCAATTCGGAAAATATTCTTCATTATTTTAGCTTCGCTCAAAAAGTAGATTGGGAATATATATATATCTGTCTTCTTTTAATGTTCGAATTAGAGAACGATAGAAATGGTTTCAATAAACTTTTTCGTGAAATATAGGAATAGAAATAAAAGAAGTCACTGGGAATTGAGAAAAAATTAGACGGAACTGTTCAGTAGCTTGAAATTTGTGTTAGAATTAGTGTCAGTTCGTAGTTGCAAAAGTGAATTCACTGTACTACTATGAAATTATAATTATTACATTTAGTTATCAAAGTTAATTTACCAGCTACAGCAAATTAGAATTTGCGCAGTTTGCGGTTCTTCTCTTCACCTTAATAACTATTTTCTTCAAAATTTATTTTATCAAAATTTTGTGCTATTCAAATAATGAAAATAATCAAAAACAATTCTTGGCAAGGTGTAATCATATTTATATGTGGTCACGGTTGAAGTTCAGGTAGAAGAGTCATATTAAAAATAGATTTTGCTTTTAGCTGCAAAATTAGGAATACCAGAAATAGACTTTATCGTTCCTCTTCCTCTCTGATGAAATTAACTATATTCCATTCCTGGATTTTTAAAACTGTTTTAATGCGAATTTGAGGTATACGATCATAAGTAATTGATTTTATTTGTCAGACTTTCAATGAAAATAATTACCAGAGTAACTGACCAATCTTCATGCTGATGATAGTATATTGTTGAATCAGAGAGAAATATGCCTATTATTTGTAAATCATTCAAGCGACTAATGACCATTTCTCGCGAGTAGAATACTATACTTTTTCTATTATCGATTATCTCAAGAACGGCTCAGGATAGTCTGGATTTATCAACATAATTCCTTTGCATTCTGAAAAAAAACTCTTTTTTGTCTAATGTTATCAACATGTTATCTTCCGTTTCCGAGATATCAATAGTGTGCAATTAAATTTTCGCCACCCAGTAGAAGATAGTATGCTTTGAGTATTAACAAACAAAATTTGTGCCTCATCTCACATACCAAGTGAAACTATCCCAACTAGCTCATCCATCAGTCCAAACTCTCACTAACCGATTCCTTGGTATTAAATTACTTTTCATTCGCTAAATCATTCAGAGCAAATTCAAATCAGAGTTTCTTGCTTATAATTAATTTTCAATACTTTCTGCTTGACCACAGGATGCTGCGATGTCATTTCCGAATTGGACGTCCAGACTCTGAAAGTAATGTCGGAAATTTGCAACACCATCGTCAAAAAGGACGGAGAGACTACTCTCTCCGGCAGAGAGTTGGTAGCAAAGTGTCGCAGTGACATACTCGACACTTGCGGAATAGATATTTCAGCGGTGTTGCAAGAGCAAGTAAGGTTGGGGCAAACCACCAAGCAGATACTGGACGAGGTGAGGTCACTGAACGGATCTCTTTGTTTGAAGTATAATTTTGGGGTATCGCCATGGACGCTGGGGGTTCCGCACCGTGTTACTGTCAAGGTGTCGCCTTCTTACAGTAAGCATCTGCCGTGGGTGTTTTGTGAGCGTTGACTTCGTTGCTTTTGAAAACTTCAGTACTAACAATTGTGGCAATCCATCTAATATTTTTTTGTATAAAGATGGAGAATTGAACAGCCAAAACCTTTCCTTACCTTCTAAAATATCCTCCTTTCAATTTATTTAACATACATTATGCATCTACTAGGATTGAAATTAATGTTGAAAGAGATGATATACTTAGGAGGTAATTTCTGATGAAAAAGTTCNAATTGAATAAAAATAATAATAAATTTTAAAATTAATTCTTTTGTATTGATTTTTGCTTAATATCAACTGTACGAAAATTTTAATCAATCGTGTTCAGCGTCCTTCCCCTTCAAATCCAAATCCAGTGAATTTTTATACCAGCTTTAACGTTTCCGTCTTCGTTCGTAAATAATAATTTCATTGTACTAAGGGGTTACAGTGGTAGAAAATATGTCATGGAGGTCGCCATATTTTTTTACAAATGGCATCTATGTGAAAAAGCATGGTGGTCCCCGTGAATGATGTTCTGTTTAAAAATCTGCCTGATCTGTTTAAAATCTGTTTTTCCGTTAACCAGCTGTCGCATCTCTACGAACGACAACCGTCAGAAGTCGAAACTTGTGCGAGCTAAGGATTAACCGGGTCTTACCTTTTAAGGTGTGATTCCCAACACGGACTCCTACCGTTCCTCTAGTTTTGTCTTTAGATATGAACAGAAATTTAAAAAAGTAATTAGGCTCTCAAATTTTACGGAAACCGTGAAATTTTTACAAACACACTGGGAATGATAAGCCAACTCTTCTACTTCTGGAAAAAAAATAAAAAATGTCTGGGTTTTGTACAATATCTTTTTGAAAAAATCACAGAAATGAAAATTACTTGAAAACGGCGAGGAATCGGACTCCATGTTATGCGAACTTTTTGATCAGAAATGGTCCACTTGATCACCTCGTTCGGTTTGAACCATTTAAATTTTTTACGAATGGGATGTCTTTGAGTTGCACTTTCTATATTTCCAGGCATTAGACAAGAAAGGCCGCCACACCTGAGGTCGGAAATGGTGCATCCTGCATTTCGGGAAAGGGGTAGAGCTATTCCACAAACTCAGCCTTCGCCAAAACCATCTCCACCTTCAAGGTTGATTCCAAAAGTTGTTCCGGGAAGGGTGAGTGGTACATATGAGAATTTATTCAATTCAATGTGCATTTCAAAAAAATATAAGCTGAATGTTAAACGCTGTCATCTAAATATGATGAATTTATAATAATAATGGTAATTTATTAAGCAACAGTAGTGCAATATGTGCACATGGTATGTCAACTGATACTAATAATGTTTATTGTCATAAGATGCAAAACGATATTGACATTGTTTAGTATACACAGTGTATATGAATTAAAACCAAACATAATACATCTATGACTCGAGCTAAAACATAAAAATACGAGGGTGGTTAGCAAAGTTTCTGACCTCAACATGAAGATGGCAGCACTTTTAAATAAAAGCTACTGAATTTCGTTGTACGTCTGTTTTTTTGACGGGCAGTTGTTATGTTACAGTCGTTTGAGTGAGTTGTGTTTTTATGAAAATGGGCAAAATCGAGTATCGAGCTGCAATCAAATATTTGTTTTTGAAAGGCAATACGCCCACGCAAATCAAAGATGAGTTGGATTCTATATATGGGGATTCTGTACCATCATTTACCATAGTGAAAGTTTGGGCAATTGAATTTAAACGTGGCCTCAAAAACTTGGGCGACGATGAACGTTCGAGACGTCTAAAAACTGCAACTACCGACGAAAACATCACCAAAATTCACCAAACAGAGAAATTATTTTTTATATCTGTTAGGTTGTAAACTACAAAGTTTACAAAAACCACCCTCGTAGATATAAATAATAATAAATAGTGTTTGACTTCAAAGTTAAAAACATTATTTACTGGTAAACTGTTGTTTTACCATTGAGGAATATCTGATTTCTGATTATTTCTGGTAAATTATATCAATATTTTTTTGATTTGAGTTATTGGAATGACGATTTTCTTAAATTTGTGCATGCTTTTTAACAAGGTTAGCAAAAACCAAGGTTTTTTTCCAAAAAACACAGGTTTTTTGTTTAAACTAGGTGCCGTTTTTTCCGTATTTTCATTAACACCAAAAATATCGAGTAAATGTTCTTGCCTTTTTTATAACTATTCAAGTAAATACAGCAAATTAGGTATCATTGGAAAGAGAATTTTGTGCATTTTCAAATGATATATCACTCGACACCTCTTTCTATTTAAAATTTTAGGGTTGTTACTCACCCTCGCTAGGGGGTTGAAGGCACAGGTAGAAAAACACATCTAAAATGTGTTCCCCTCAAAAGCAAAATTGACCTGTCTGAGCATTTTTGCGTTAAGTTACAAAAAAGGAAAAAAGCAAGGTGCATACTTTTCGTTGGACCACTCTGTATAATGAAGCTGTTTTGGTGAGCTCGACAAAAATGCTTTAATTTCTATTATGTGTATTATTTTAATTGACTGAGCTGTTTTCATAGTTTTTTTTAGATTTCTTTGTCATCATGTAGAGTCGAAAAAATAAAAAATAAATGAACTGACTAAGGGAATTGCAAAACACACCAAATAATTTTTTTGGTCAGCAGAAAATTAATTAGACAAATTATCTGTGGCTATTCGATAGTGGCAAGCAAAATCTGTTTATATTGATAATCAGGAAACATCAAAATCTATTCTTGTGAACTTCTTCGTAACCACAAGATACAGCTTCGTAAATACATTGCCGAGTATTTATAATAGTTATAATTGTTGGTACGGGTCCAAAACTTATTTATGTGTGGCATCGAGTCTAGTGTAACTTGGCAAAACATCCAAATATTCCAAATAATGATTTCTCTTTGAAGATACAAATATTGTATTCAATATCTTTTTAATGCGAGGGGTTTTTTCTGTAAAAACACCAGAGAGGCATTAATTCATTATTACTTTCTCCCTGATTCAGTTCAAAAATTCATTGTTGTATGAAAACAAAAATTTTCAATTTCAAAAAATATATTCACAATGTGTTTGGTTGAGAATTTTTTATCATCAGCAGTATATGATATTATAGAGCAAATGAAAATTGAGCAGTTTTCATTATATGATTAACACTATTTCTTCATAAAATTCATAAGTTCAATTATCGATGATAATGTTGACAGGATTTCAATTTGCCACACAACGCTTTTTTATTCGTGGATCAGACATTCCAGAGTAATTAGCACTCCAATATATTCCAATTGACGTTCAAAATGTTCACCATTTTCTTCCTTACAATAATGAAGTGGGTTTACAAAATATTTCTCACATTATGAAATGTTTTGGAGGTAATTTTGTTGCAAGCACCTCTTTTTCTATCCAGCAGTTCTGAAATAAGCTTCGGTTGTGTATCATACACTTTAGATGTCATTCTCTCAAAAACATCTAGAGGCCTCATATCAGGTGATCTAGTGGGCTGTACTAAGGGACTGCGTCTGCCTGTCTACCGGTTTGGTTGATTGACAAATCCAAATGAGTTTTTCGCTGATCACGACAAGTTGTTTCAAAGTGGCTAGATGAAAATTATCCAAACAGGTAGATGGACAAACATCGACCCTTAGAATGGCCTGCTAGATCACTTGATGAGATGCCCTTAGATTCTTTGTGAGGAATGGTTGTATATGTATGATATACAACTCCAGTTTATTGCATGAGAGGTGTTTTTGTAATGAAATTAATCTCAGAACATTTCATAATGTAAAAAAGAATTTGTGAACAGACTTTTTTATTGCCAGGACGTGAACAAAGAACGAACATGAAACTGCTAATTACTGAAAAATGGTTGATCCAATTTCTACAAATGAAAAAAAATTGCAGATGTAAGACCAGCAATACTGATACTTGATGAATCATCTCTTGATCTTCTTATGACTTAATTTCGAACTTGTTTGTTTTTAATTTCATCAACGAAAAGTTTGCAAATCCGTGAAATGAATGAATCTAAAAATAAACCTTACTAGACGTTTGAAAGACTATTTATAGGTGTGACCTGTGGAATTTTTCATCTTGTTTATATTACGTGATCGAACACCATTTGCTGAAAATGTATTTTTGATAGCTGCATTTATTTTTTCTTTCATTCAATCAGGATATTGGTATTTTCATTGATAAAAATATTTGATGATTCCATGGAAGAGTTAATTCTCCTAATGAGTGCAGTTTGGTTCAAAAATATTTACAATTTTGCATTTGAAAGCTTATTAGGCAGGAATTTGTTGTTTAATTCGTTCAAAACAAGTAATCNTTTTCATTTTCCCAAAAAATATTTATTTATTTATCAATTTCTATTTTGTCCCCTTCAAAGTAATCCCCCTTGTGCCAGATTTTTTTCCAAACCTCTGAGTCTATTCGATTTTGGGAACAGAAAAATGTCGCAGAGGGTCAAATCTGGTAAATACGATGGCTGAGGCAGGATTACGGTGTTGTTTTTAGTCAAAAAATTACGAACAAGAAATATAATACTCCTTATTGACCGAACGACCATTTGGCAAGAACTCATGATGCACTACGTCACGGTAATTGAAGAAACCGGTGAGCGAAACCTTGACATTTGATCGAACTTATCTACAGGACGTGTAGGTGCTTTCAAACCTAGAATGTTTTATGACAGTTTTAAATACATATGTCCGATCTCGTCCGGAATATGGCCCCCTAATCTGGTCACCTATATACAAGGTGCATATATATCAACTCGAATCTCGTCGTCAAAGAATTTTTATGAAATACACGGCTTACAAACTGGATGGAGCTTACCCATCCCAAGGAATTGATAATAGAGTGTTGCTAAATAGATTTGCCCTCTCATCCTTAGAAAACAGAAGAATATATTATCTTCATATATAAATTGATTCATAATCTGGTAGACTGCCCAGATTTGCTATCTCAATTAGATTTTCACGTACCGAAACGAAATCTTCTTCTATTTGTCTATACCAAGAAACAATGTGTTGAAAAAATCCTCGGTTTATAAAATCTGTAAAATTTACAGTAGTTTCTATTCAGAATTTGATATTTTTGTTGTTCCGTTTGGATGCTGCAAGTCTAATTAAAATCTAATTACAACCCATAAAGGTGAAATACTGTGTTTCAACTCTCTGCACACTGCCAGTTCAATTAGAACTCTACAGTATATGTTTTTGATTATTATATGACCAGTGTGAAGGTGGCCATGTGTTTGGTGAAAGAGAGGCGAGCGCGCTATTCCGCGATAGGTTGTTTCACCGCTATTATTCACATGGCTAGCCATGGAAATTTTTACATTGATAGACTCATTGCTGGAAACGAACTGATGTGATTGGAAATGATTGAAATGATGATGAAAATGCTTTTTTTTTATGAAATGAACCGCATTCTATTGAAATTGTACAAACAACTGATGATAATAATAAAAGCAGAAAAATAATTCCAGAAGGAAATTCGTTTCTAGGAATATTTCTTCTGTCAATTAATTAAATACACCCCCGACTACCCTTAATTCAATTTTCATTAGAAAAAATCATAACTCCTTGCAGAAACACATTGCTGGGAAAATTTTTCCATGAAACCATCCAATTTGGCATGCTTATTAACCCCAGAAGGGTCGCTAATTTTGTCTCACGAAAATACGCCCCCTTCTACCCTCAATTCAAATTTCATTAGAAAAAATCTTTACACCTTGCAGAAATACATTGCTGGGAATATTTTTCCATAAAACCATCCAATTTGGCATGCTTATTAACCCCAAAGGGGTCACTGATTTTGTCTCACGAAAATACACCCCCTTCTACCCTTAATTCAATTTTCATTATACACCCCCAACTACCCTTAATTCAATTTGCATTAAAAAAAATCATAAATCCTTGCAAAAACACATTTCTGCGAGTATTTTTTCATGAAACCATCTAATTTCGCAAGCTTGTTAACCCCAGAGGGGTCGCTGCTTTTGTCTCACGTAAATACACCCCCCTTCTACCCTTAATTCAATTTTCATTAAAAAAATCATAACTCCTTGCAGAAACACATTGCTGGGAAAATTTTTCCATGAAACCATCCAATTTGGCATGCTTATTAACCCCAGAGGGGTCGCTGATTTTGTCTCACGAAAATACACCCCCTTCTACCCTCAATTCAATTTTCATTAGAAATAATCATAACTCCTTGCAGAAACACATTGCTGGGAATATTTTTTCATGAAACCATCCAATTTGGCATGCTTATTAACCCCAGAGGTGTCACTGATTTTGTCTCACGAAAATACACCCCCTTACACCCTTAATTCAATTTTCATTAGAAAAAATCATAACTCTTTGCAGAAATACATTGCTGGGAATATTTTTCCATGAAACCATCCAATTTGGCATGCTTATTAACCCCAGAAGGGTCGCTGATTTTGTCTCACGAAAATACACCCCCTTCTACCCTTAATTCAATTTTTATTAAAAAAATCATAACTCCTTGCAGAAACACATTGCTGGGTAAATTTTTCCATGAAACCATCCAATTTGGCATGCTTATTAACCCCAGAAGGGTCACTGATTTTGTCTCAAGAAAATACACCCCCTTTTACCCTTAATTCAATTTTCATTAGAAAAAATCATAACTTCTTGCCGAAACACATTGCTGGGAATATTTTTTTATGAAACCATCCAATTTGGCATGATTATTAACCCCAGAAGGGCCGCTGATTTAGTCTCGCGAAAGAACACCTCCGACTACCCTTAATTCAATTTTCATTAAAAAAACAAGCTTACGAAATTCGATGGTATCATGAAAAAATACTCCCAGCAATGTGTTTTTGCAAGGACTTATGATTTTTTTTTAATGAAAATTGAATTAAGGGTAGTCGGGGGTGTTCTTTCGCGAGACTAAATCAGCGGCCCTTCTGGGGTTAATAAGCATGCCAAATTGGATGGTTTCATGGAAATAATTTCCCAGCAATGTGTTTCTGCAAGGAGTTATGATTTTTTCCAATGAAAATTGAATTAAGGGTAGTCGGGGGTGTATTTAATTAATTGACAGAAGAAATATTCCTAGAAACGAATTTCCTTCTGGATTTATTTTTCTGCTTTTATTATTATCAGTTGTTTGTACAATTTCAATAAAATGCGGTTCATTTCATAAAAAAAAAGGATTTTCATCATCATTTCAATCATTTCCAATCACATCAGTTCGTTTCCAGCAATGAGTCTATCAATGTAGAAATTTCCATAGCTAGCCATGTGAATAATTGCGGTGAAACGACCTATGGCGGAATAGCGCGCTCGCCTCTCTTTCACCCCAAACACATGGATGAAAACACATGGCCACCTTCACACTGGTTATTGTATGTATGTATCAGTGTTTGTATAATATACTATTTAGTCTACTGATTTTATATGCTATCGTTGTTTTCTATTTCACTTATATTTCTAATTTATGCCTCTCACCAACAAACTGAACATGCTCAACAGCTTAAACTGTGAACAGTCGTCCTATATACAGTATTGTTGAGTCTGTTATGTTTTTTACAGCCAGGACCGCTGCCTGGGATGAGACCAACACTGGGAGGTGCAGGGCATGTGGTTCCATCACCGAAGCAAGGAACGGGAAGTATGGGTCTTATCATGCCTATTTATACCATTGGGATTGTCATATTCTTCACATATACAGTTATGAAGGTAAAGCTGGAATCATTTTTCAACTTGTGTCTTTCTAAGTCTCCAGTAAATCTCATCATTCGAAATCTATATATTTAATTGATGAATTTTATGGATATACTTTCAAGCGGTACAATTTATTTTTCAGGTTGTTTTCAAGAAGCAACCTGAATCGCTGTATCCATCCGTAGAATCAGATCCTAACTTCAGAGCTCACGTTTTTGAACCGGAGAGGTTATATACGGCACCCAAAATAAGTAAAGATGGAACTTCTAGTAAAATAGGTAAGGAAACTAACACAAACTGTGCAGTTTCTGGTTACACAGTTGTAAAAGTTATGTGATCATTTTATACAGGGAGTTTTTAAAGTTGGGTCACTTATTTTAACAGTTTTTAGAATTCGCCAAAAGAAGTGATATACTGAAACTCTATATAAAAGTTCCCTAATGAAAGAGTTATAGTTATAAGTATTATTGAAAAAAATTAGAAAAATCCATTATTAGTGATACGGATTTCACTTTAAATATTGCCTTACTAGATCGCTTCGTGTAGCGCACTGTAACTTCCACTTGACTATATGCTCGTGGCTAGCGTTTATATATCGTAATCTAACTCTGTAGAAATTTGGCTGAAATTCCATCGAAATCACTAGCATTATTCTAGCTGCATCTAGAGCGGCAGCAAACGGCGTACATTCTCGCGCTCTTAGCTACGTCACAATTGATTTATGACTACCAGTGGCGGGCGGCGTTATTTTCTTCAGGGCATGATTCACAACAATATTTTCGAAAAAGGTTATACTCTCAATTAGATAATGGATTTTATTTTTCAATTTTCACTATGTCATGCAACTTTTATATAGGTGATTTTTCGATCTATCAATTTCCTTTGACGAGTTCTACAAGCTTTTGAAATGAATTACTCAACTTTGAAACTCTGTATACTCACGTGTTACGAATGTTTTGAGGCTTTCAATAAATGTTCATAAAACTTTCCTTGACATTTTGAAACATGTTCTGTACTCTGCATTCGTGAATCAATATTTGAATTTGAATTTCTGCTACGAAATCAATAGGATGGAAGGAACGTGATACAAGTAAGTTATGTGCACTAAAATCGACACGCCACTAATGTTTCTCAGATTTTCCCTTTGCAGTAATTCCACTTCTTTCGGCAAAGTTATACATCAGTTGTTCATTTTCATTCGATTTGACTTTCATACGTCACATTCACATTTCATCTTTTCCATTTTTGTGTTTATTAGTTCTTTGATTCAATTTGTTTAGAAAAAGATACGTTTATAAAGTTGTTTATGAAAAATTAAATGTCGAATAGCAATTATTTCTGTTGATGAGAAGTTTCTTTGGCAGTTGAGAATGTATTTTAATATTAGAGTGTAGATGAGAAACTTTAAGCCATGAATAAACTGACATTCCTTATTTTCATATCGGGTGGACTGAAAAGTTCGTATGCTAACACACAGATGGCGCCACTAGATGATTGTCAATTAACACTAACCTTCAAAAGACGCGTGTACAAACACACCTGTCGTACTATTAGTTTGTGGGATACAACATTTCGAGTGAGGCAACTTTTGTAAGTGTGAAGAAAATGGATAAAAAGGAATTTTGTGTGCTAATGAAGTATTGCTTTTTGCCGAAAAAAACTACTGTTGAAGCCTAGACTTGGCTTGATAAACATTATTCAGACTTTGTACCAGGAAAATCAACCCTTGAGAAATGGTTTGCAGAATTTAAACGAGATGAAATGAGCACCGAGGACGATGCACACAGTGGACGTTCTAAAGAGGTTGTTGCTGACAAAAACTTAGAAAAAAGTCCACAAAATAATTTTGGATGATCGTGAAGTTTATCGAGATAGCTGAGGCTCTCAAGATATCAAAGGAGCGTGTTGGACATATCGTGCATGAATATTTAGGTATGCAAGAGCTCTGTTCAAAGTGAGTGCCGCGCGTGCTCACAATCGACCAAAAACAACAACGAACTGATGATTCTGAGCAGTGCTTGTAGCTGTTCCACCTTAAAAACCCGAATTTATGCATCGATATGTGACAATGGATGAAACATGGCTCCATTAATTTATAAAAGAATCAAAACGATCGTCATCTGAGTGGACTGTACCTGGTGAACCGACTCCAAAGCGTGGAAAGACGCAACAATCGGCTGGCAAGGTTATGGTGTCAGTATTTTGGGATACGTATGGTATAATATTCATCGACTATCTTTAAAGAGGAAAAAAGCATCAACAGCGGCCCTATTTGAAGATACAGAAAGAGTAGTTTTATCAAGGTGATGCATCGTGTCACAAATCAATGTAAACGATGGCAAAATTGAATGAAATGAGCTTCGAATTGCTTCCACATTCACCTAATTCTCCAGACCTGGTCCCCAGCGACTTTTTTCCGTTATCAGACCTCAAGGGTAATCTTCGAAAGTGAGGCCTATTTTGAGCCTGAATACAAATCGTGCTGTGACTGCTATAATCATAGTATCGCCCTTGTAGGCAACTTTATTGAGTAATAAAATAATATTTTACAAAAAAAACGATTTTTTTCTGTTCTGTGTTAGCCTACGAACTTTCCAGCCAACTATTACATCATTTTTGGATGACTGTACATTCAAATTACAAATATTACTTTTGAGTTCATATCATTTTGAGTTAATTTCAGTTGGATTCTGTTTACTGTCTGCAAATTAGTTTGTTTTTTCAGTTCTTCCGAGTAATATCTTAGTTCTATTAGATTATACTACTGTAATCTCTTTTTTTTTCTCATATTTCATCATGTGGTACATCCATTTATAGATTTTGCAGTTACAAATATAAACTAAATGAATGAATGTACCAAATTTCATTCTTCATTCTGTCTAGTGTTGCACAGGAGGGGATGGGTTTAATTTTTGTAGAGGATGTTCCACCCGAAATTAGATGCCTTGATGAATGGTTTAATTGTATATTTGGAAAAATATTTTCATACTCACATATTACCCGAGTTTCGAGTACATGTTAATGTCAGATATCAACTTTTTCCTCCCTCCCAAACAAGTTTATATTGGTATAAAAACATAATTTTCTCAAGCTCAGAATAACTTTATGTTTTTTTCCTTCCATGCGGCTTTATGTAGTAACTACTCGTAGATACAATGTAACGGTATTCACATATAAATATCAGAATTCTATTTATGATTTAGACTGAAAATAAATGAATAAATGAATATTTCACCAATACAAGTGTTCAAACATTTTAGTGCACAACACTATTATACCTTCATTACTGAAACCGGAAAATGTTTTATGTATGAAATGTTTGTAAATGAAGCTGAAATAAATGAAATGAGATTTTACAAAAAGTCAGATATACGTCAACTGTTCAAAAAATAAATGAATGTTCAAATTTCTCGGGCGAACAGTTTCAGCTGTTTAAGAGCTGTTTAAGTTTGTTGGTAAAAAGCGTAAGAGTTAGGAGTGTTTTGCTTGTTCGTTAATTTTCTGCTATCGAAAAAAAACACTTGAAATGTTGACAGTGGCATATGGTGATTGTACTCAGAGTCAGAAAAATGTTTACAAGTGGTACAAGCTTCTCACAGAAGGTCGAGATGTAAATGACGACACGCCCCAGTACATCAACAACCGATGAAAATATTGAAAAATTGAAGAAAATTGTTATGGAGAATCGTCGTATCACTATTAGAGAAGTTGCTGATGATGTCGGCATATCGATTGGCTCTTGCCATGCAATTTTTTTCGGAAATTTTGGGCATGAAGCGTGTGGCAACAGAGTTCGTTCCAAAATTATTGAATTGTGACCAAAAAAACCGTCGTTGTTGAATGACCCCAACGGCGATCCATATTTGCTTGGGTCATCATAGATATTTGGTTATGATATCGAATCGAAAGTCCAATCGTTCCAATGGAAGAGCCCAGGAGTGCCAAGACCAAAAAAAGCACGCCAAATTCGATAAAATTTCAAAGTTTCGCCCCCTGTTTTCTTCAATTACCGTGGCGTAGTGCATCAGGAGTTCTTGCCACATGTTTGTATGGTAAATAAGGAGTATTATCTTGAAGTTTTGCGCCGCTTGTGGTACCTCAGCCACCGTATTCACCAGATTTGTCCCCTATGATTTTTTCCTGTTTCCAATATTGAAGAGATCCGTGAAAGGACGGCGTTTTGTGACGATCGATGTGATGAAAATCGAATCTCTCAATACGCTTCCAGCGAATGGAAGTGCTTTGCCGTTGAACATCGTAGACTTTAATTGCTGAATCCAGCTGCTGGATATAATTAAAGTAGATGAAAAGTTGCTTCTATGCTGTGTTGAAAACAGCGCTTTCCACTTTTTTATTTTAACCGAAAGCTATATATATTACAGAATTCCATGTTTGAACCGTCTATTACCGTGTGTACAAAACTGGGTTGATGTCTTCAATCGCATCGAGAGCTTTTGAGTAAACGAAAGTGAATCGGTGACGACACCAGGGTTTCTACGCATATTGAAAGTAACATACATAATTTGTTGACCGTGGCAAACAAGTACAGTACATCAAATATATTTCTCTAGTGGCGGTGTTGCCAACCTTTAAAATATTGTGAGCAGAATTGTAGTGAAATGTATTTTGACAACCCTCAGAAGTCGAACCTTGTGCTAGCCAAAGAAATTGCAACTCATCATAATAAAATATGAAAAATCAACAACAACCATCACTTTGGTTTTATTGTTTTTCTAAATTTTCCCCTTGATGATCAATATACTTTTGCATTCGTTCAAACCATTTGTCAAAGCAGTTTTTCCATTCCTCTTGAAACACTTCCAAAATATAGTTTTTGAACGCTTCAACTGCTTCTTCAGCGCCCGTAAATCGTTGGCCACGCAGTTTACGTTTGATATTCGGGAACAAGAAAAAGTCATTCGTTGCCAAATCAGGACTGTACGGAGGATGAGTCATTCGATGTTTTGACTGTTCAAAAATTCACCTGTTACACGAGATGTGTGAGAGCTCGCATTGTCATGATGGAGAACGATTCCGTCTTTGGCGGTTAGTTTTACGAATTTCTCCGAAGACTTCCGGCAAGCAAATGGTCGTGTACCACTCAGAATTGATCGTTTTACGTTGCTCAAGCGAAACAGTGGCCACATGACCCGAATGGGTTAACAGGCGACCATTTGCTTCGCTGTGCATCTTCCACGAACAACTTTTGTTGGATTTAGCTCGTCTTGGGATACCCTATCGGTCCATTACTGTTTTGTTTCCGGCATATATCCATAATTCGTCACCTGTTACGATTTTATACGCGTCTTTTGAAGCAGCACGGTCGAACATTCCAATAATTTCCTTACACCACTTGACGCGAGCCTTTTTTTGGGCGATTGATAAATTATGGGGTATCCAACGAGAACTTTTTTTTTGCAACTGAGTGTTCATGCAAAATCGAATGTATTGAAATGGAACTAATGTGCAAGTGTGCCTCTATCTCACGACCTTCACGGAATTAGTCGGCGACCAAACTACGACCACGATTGAATTCACTATACCAGCAATATACCTACTGTGGTTTTTTTGATGGTGCTTTATCGCCATACATCGTCGAAAGTGGTGAAAAATAATCCAACGAAAACCTTCCCTTGAAATTCCTATTTTTTTTGGTCAAATCGATTGTCTCAACTCACTGTAAACAAACAAATATCACTTGTATATCTAAACGTTGTGAGTACTTTTGTGGTAAAAAATGTCAAACTTTATTATGGTGTTGCCACATTTTACTTATTAACATTAGTTTTGCCAGTTCCTGAAATACGAGGGTTGCCTTTTAAGTTTTGGGATTTGGCAACTCTAGTGTTGCAATCTGGCAACTGACAGCTTTATCGTAAAGTTAAGACAAACCCTTGTATCATTCACCCTTGTATGTGTCTTTCGTCTAAATTTCTATCTGTGATATGTGAAAATACTAACAAACCTACACCGACTACAACAGACAAAAGACAAAGCAGAAAATGACAAAGAGAGCAAAAGAAGAAGAAAGTGACACAATAAGGAAGCAGTCTGCATAAAGCAGGACAACTGCAGCCCCGGACGGAGCTACTGTTACATAAGTGACATGTAACAGAAGGATAACTGGCCAAATGCGCCTGCTCGGAAGCAAGGGCCAACCAAACAGAGAGAGAGAGCATTTTTGATCTCATACGCTCGCTATTTGTGTTGTTTACAGTAACTTAAAAGGTTCATCTCGGCCCAAAAATGGAATTAAATCGTGTACATTTTCGTGCGATTATTTTTTACAACTTTCGACGTGGATTAACTCAGCAACAGTGCATGGATGAACTTGATTCAATTTTTGGCGATGAAGCTCCATCAAGGACCTCTGTTTATCGATGGTATGGTAAATTCAATCGTGGTCGTAGTTCACTCCAAGACGAATTTCGTGAAGGTCATCCAAAATCAGTTGTTGTACCGAAAACCAATGATTCTGTGCGCGAAGTGTTATTGCAAGATCGTCATGTGACCTATCGTGAGATTGTGACAACCTGAGGCATTAGTGGAACCAGCATACATTCAATATTGCATAAACATTCGACTGTCAAAAAAAAGTTAGTTCGCGTTGGATCCCACACGATTTGTCAATCGCTCAAAAAAAGGCTCGTGTCGATTGGTCGAAGGAAATGCTCGAAAAATACGATCGCGGTGCTTCGAAACACGTCTATTACATCGTGACAGGTGACGAATCGTGGATTTAAGCATATGAGCCCGAAAGTAAACAGCAGTCGACTGAAGAAGTGGTTGTTGCGTTCAGAATGCATGTTTTGGAGGTACCTCAATCAGAGTGACAAAAGTGCTTCGACAATTGGTTCAAACGCATGCAAAAGTGTATAGATCTTCATGGGAAATATTTTGACAAATATTGAAGTGATTTTTAATATTTGTTTTTGTTCTCTAATCCCGAAATATAAAAGGCAACCTAGCGTATACAACTGCCGGACTTGAGTCATGGCCGGTTAACTTGGCTTTTATATATCTACAAGAACCCAAATGGCATTTTAATATCCATTTATTGTTTACCCCTTAATACGTACTACGTAAAATTGCAAACAAAAGTTTCTGTTACTTCTTTCATAATACTTTCTTTGTCATGCACCGACCCAAACTTTACGCAGATACGATTTATCCCACTGGCCATGACTCAGTCTGGTAACTGTAAATAGTCCCCCATTGTAGCATTTCATACCTGACACATTTTCTGGTGAGTTCTCGTTGAAACTGTAGAAACTTGGTACTGGTACAACTGAAAACTGAAAGTTAAAGACCTATATTTTTAGATGAACCATCTGCTTATATTTCAAACGATTCTCAAACGTTTAATAGTAACTGCACACCTATACTCTCGGGTGGAACTTCCTCATGCGAAACAAGGGGTCCCAGTCACCAGTGTACTTGACATGTTGTATCTGCAGGGGATGCTGAACTGGATCAGCTACGTCGTAGGCTTCGCGAGACCGAAATGGCCATGGAACGCATCGTAGAACAGATGGCCAAAGTGCCTTTCGATTTGCAGGTGCGCTGCACTTTCGGGGCCCCTCCTGATCCACACTACGGGCAGCTTAGCTTCGCTTCGCTTTTTGCATGCGCCCCCCTCGTAGATTTCCTCCTTTCCGTTCTCTCCTTCTGTTGGTAAATTCGCCGGGAGGTGTTCGAGGTATATACCTTTGTTGAGTTGACAGTGGCGTCTGAAGGGGTAAATTGTGGAGTGTTGTGAGTAATGGTGTAAATTTTTGAGGGGGAGAGTTTTCCTGGTTTGGTAATTATTCTCAGGGCCGGATTTGGGAGTCTGGAGACCCTGGGGCAACGAAGAAGTGGAGGCCCCTTGAAAACTGTTTTCATAAAAGTTGAGTTTTTAACTTCCCGCTAATGAAGTTGAAAATTTTCCGTTCGAGTGATTTTGTCATACAATTTTTAAAATTCATAGCTCGAAGCGAGAAGTTGTAAGCATTGTCAACCGTTTTTTGGATTTTTTCACTTATTTTCTCTATCTTCAACTCATGGGTACAAATTTCACATTAAAAAAAAGGTTTTGCCACTGAAATGCTCCATCGAATCAAAAATTGATTGTAAATGAAAGTGTTCTTAGTGAAAATGCAAACAAAAAAAAATGTCTGGGAAGAAGTAAAAGTTGCTGACTGTCAAAATTTTAATATTTTTTTGTCTTTATTATACGGGCGTCTTTCCTGTGAAGGTCCCGGGGCAGTAGCCCCGCCTGCCCTACCCTAAATCCGGCCCTGATTCATTTCCTTTGGGGGAGGGCGTGGTACAAAATAATTTACTTTGTTTCAACATCAAAGGTAACTGTGTATTAGAGCAGTTGGATAATTTTGAACTGTATAATGAAAAAAATAGTAATAGAAGTGTAATCAAGCAATATCAAGGCAATGGATAAATGCAAGACACTTATCAGACTAGTTATAGATAGATCTTTATTTAAATAGGAATCCTAATATACAAATTCACAAGAAATAAAATCTAAGCATAAATAGGATATTTATTCTTTATATTTGTTTATTTCCTTCCATTATGACCATCCGATTGTTCAATTTTTTATATTTGAAACCACAAGACAATAAGACACCTTAATTAGTATTAAGCCAGTCCAGCTAGCCGAGCCTTCATTCCTCAACTACATTTGATAGCACGTTTACTATCTTGGCGACTAGGGGCCACAGGCAAGAAATGTTTATGACAGTACTCTTATTTTTATTGCCGTTCCAATTGGGAATGGATAACTATAATCTTAGGTGAACATATTTGATGCAATTATTTTCAATTTTTAATTTAAACTTACCAAATTACTACTCAATTCATGTAGGAATATGTATACGTGATGCATGTGTGCGCGCACGTAAATCTGTTTATTTAGTGAACATACTCACTTTTAATTACTTTGGAAATTTCAGTAATGTCGGCAATAAAAATAAGAGTACAGTCATAAACATTTCTTGCCTGTGGCCCCTAGTCGCCCAGATAGTAAACGTGCTATCAAATGTAGTTGAGGAATGAAGGCACAGCTAGCTGGACTGGCTTAATACTAATTTTTTGTCCGTTTCACAATATTTCTTTATCAGTGCCGTGTGTTCGTGGGGTTAGGTGAGGTAGTAAGTGGTTTTGCAAACCGATTTTTGAAAACTTTTACACCAAAGGTTCCAATCTCATCGTTTAAACCGATTTTTGTAAAAATATTTGTGTTTTTGGGTACTTTCATCAATATGGCTTTCTGAAGACCTTTTGAAACAAATGATAACATTACGTGTGAGGAATCTGTGTCAATCGACAGGGATCCGGAATTTGAAAATAAGGAATTACATGTTCACTTCACAGAATGCTATTGTGAATAGAATATGCGAGTTAACGACAGTTCTTCGAGTCATTAAAATAGGGGATGTCATTGACCATGCAATGAAACGAAAGCAAAGGAATAAAAAATTCGCAAACGTTGATGGTGCTACAAAATATGTGATTCGGCCAACAATTTACGGTATATACAAAAAAAATGAAGTATCAACTTTGGAAATGATTTGGTATAAACTACTCGACTATCCCAATTACTATTAAAAATCTTTAGAAACTCTACGAGGTGTCTTATTGT